GTATAGTTGAGGAGTTGTAGTGGAAGCTAAAAGGAGGAATAATCAAGCAGGGCCTGCCACTGCCTTGACGAATGTTATGGCATAGATAATAATCAATCAAGAGGATGAAGCTATACACACACTAGCTAGTTCGGTGAACCTAGTTATGGTCTGATGTAATCCAGGGGAGACACAGACAGACCGAGAGAGGGAGATCTCACGTGCCAGGATCACAATACCGGACGGTAATGGCAATACGAATTTGACTCATTAGAGTCACGTGTCGGGAGCCCGCGATAACAGCGATTCTTTGCCATCGAGTCAGCGCAACAACCAAACTTCGAGATTCAACCAGCTCAAACCACAATCCCTAGAGCAATTTCCTTCATCTCTCGCGAACGCAACAATCAAGCTACCGGAATATATTGTCCTGGTGGGAAGTTGAGAAACGCTCATTCTCTCAGATAATCAAAAGGGCCAGCCCAAATATGGCGGAGACTGTACGTCACACCCCCGTTTTCCCTTTACCGATCGGTTTCCCTCCCACATTTTCTTCATCACATTTCGCCGTGGGACCATCGACTCCCTCCGCTTTTGCTTTCTTGAAGCACCACCTCAACCCCCGTGTTCTTTTCCCTCTATACCCATTACCTGTTGTGCAACGCTCGGACGCGATTTTTGCGGATCGAGCTTCACACTGGTCGACTGTCTTTTAGTGTGTCCCAGCGGTTTTTTTGGGTTTTTAATTTCGCCCCTCCCGCTAACGTGTGTTTGGGCTGGTCCGGATTAGCAGGTTGAACCCGCTCCCCAAAAACAACGCAAGTCGGTCGCATTCAGTGAAGGCGCTGTCATTATGGATACCAACGGCGAAGTGACGGAGGCTGCTCCGGTTGTTGAGAAGCCGGTTGCTGAGACTGAGGGTATATACCTTTCTCCCCTCTCGACTTGTGGATATCAAATTTGATATTGACCTCTACGCATCACCTACAGACAAGGCCGTCGACGAAGTTACCGAACTCTTCAAGGGTCTTTCGAAAAAGAAGAAGAGCAAGAAGCCCAAGGACACCGAGGGCGATGACGAGACCCCCGCCGCCGACGGCGAGTTCGACCCCTCCGCTCTGAAGAAGAAGAAGAAGAAGCCGAAGAAGGTCGACGCGGGCGATTTCGAGGCCAAGCTGGCTGAGGCCGGTGTTGCAGAGAAGGAAGGTGCCGTCGCCGAGGAGAAGGAAGAGGTCGTCCCCGAGGGAGACCACGAAGCTGGAACCGGTATCTGGGCTCACGACGCCGCGCAACCCATCCCGTACTCGCTGCTTGTGTCCCGATTCTTCTCCCTCATTCAGAGCCACCACCCCGATCTGTTGTCCAGCGGTACCAAGTCGTATAAGATCCCGCCGCCCCAGTGTCTGCGTGAAGGTAACCGTCGTACGATTTTCGCCAACATTGCCGATATCTGCAAGCGCATGAAGCGGTCCGATGATCACGTTATGCAGTTCTTGTTCGCCGAATTGGGTACCAGTGGTAGTGTGGACGGTAGCCGTCGTCTGGTTATCAAGGGTCGTTTCCAGCAGAAGCAGATTGAGAACGTCTTGAGAAGATACATCGGTATGTTGCTTTGCTATATGGTTATTTTCTAAATCAATAACGACACTAACGTTGTACAGTCGAATACGTCACCTGCAAGACCTGCCGCAGTCCCGACACCGAGCTCAACAAGGGTGAGAACCGTCTATACTTCGTCACCTGCAACTCTTGCGGTTCTCGTCGTTCCGTCGCCGCCATCAAGACCGGTTTCCGTGGACAGGTCGGCCGCAGAAAGAGACAGGGTTAAGCAGGTTAATGGGATTTTTGTCAAAGGGGGAGAAGGATCCATGGAGGAAACTACCATGGTGTCTTCGGTGGTATCTTCTGGCGCGGTTATGATTTGTTTCCCCCGCCTTTTTCGTATACAAAGACTTCTTTCTTTTTTTCCTTATCCTTTTTGCATTCCATCTCTTATGTGAACATGTGGATGATGAACGTTGTGGATCGATTGATCCGATCTTGGGTTTCGATCTTTCGGTTTAGGGTGCAAGGGATAAAAAAAAGGAAGAGGCGAGAGAGACGAAGTGAAGATTTCTTAGCATGGCATGATAGGTAAATGGATTGGTATGACCTTACTCTGGATTTTCACGTATGCTGGCAGATTGGCAGATGAAGCAGGGTTTATCTCTGGTTTTGACTTAGCCTCGCCTCGAAAAAGCGGCTGAGCCTGCCAGAGTCATGAGAAACTACCCAAAAGAAGTGACAGAAGATATTCAATTTTGTGACTATGCAAAACTTGAAGACGGCTTTGTAGAAAGCACATGAGTAGATACAGATACGTGTCAGGTATATAGCAGGGTAAATATATCAAGCCAAAGCAACCAGAAGAATAAGGAAAACAAGAAAGGATGACAACCCTCGTGAAAAGCCCAGCAGATCGTCACGTCTGCGTCTTTAGCTTTTAGCAATGCTGTTGCCCAAATGGGCAACGAAGGAGGACACATTGCGTGTCTGCATATACACAGTGCCAGGGCCTGTGAATCTACAGGCAAGACCCTCGCCTGCACTCCAGTTAGAGATAATACCACCCGAAGCAACTCGTTCAATCTTGTAGCGGCAATTCCATGCTACCAGATGGCCGTTATTTACGTAGTACGTTTCATCATCGGCGAGCTACAATCACATTAGTTTGGCTCATCACTCGATTTTCAGAGCTAAGGGAGGTAGAATAACATACTTCTTTCTTGACAATCGCTCCGAAGCTCTGCATCCATACCAACCCGGAGCCGGTGAATTTGAACACGATGAAACCTTCGCCGGAGAACACACCCTTCATAAGACCTTGAGTTTTGAAGTTGATGTTAACGCCCACTGTACAAGCAAGAAAGGCGTCCTTCCCTACGGTCCACTCTGTATGGCCGTCCAGACGGATGATAGTGACATCTCCAAGAATAGATGGGGCGAGTAGGAGTTCACCAGGGCCGGTGTATGTTGAACGGGCCAATTGGCCTCCTGCAAGGGCTTTCATCCATCCAAAAGAGAGCGAACCTCTGAGGGACATAGAAGGAGACATCGCGATCATGATTCCTGTCGTATGCAAAACTTAGTCTCATGCAGTGTATAATAAGGCTACGCGACATACCGGGTCTCGCTTGGATGGGACACCCCACCGCCAGCTGAATGGTTAAGAGAGTGTTTGTGTCTCGATGACTGACCCTATAGCTGCCACCGTTGAAAGTCCCTACATCGTCCGCATATGTTGATGTGGCTCCTACGAAGTGTTTTGGGGCAATTCGGCTGGCAAGAGTCGCATCTGTATGCGCTCGTGTGAGACCTGGCCCTGGTGTTGGTGCTTGCTGGGCTTCCGATGAACTAAACATAGCCGAGTTGGCAGAAAATGATCCAGCATTCTCAGCTGCATAAACAGCCTTCTCATTTATCGGCGGGGTTGGCGGGCCTTGTGGAGAAGAGATTGGTGAAACATCAGCCTTGTCCTCGTGTGAAGATATAGGCTGCTGTGGAGGCGGAGGAAAGCTGAAGTTTGGAGGAGGAATGTTCGGAGGGGTCTGGGATGGAGGTTGATATGCTAGAGATTATCAGCTAGACGCAAGATATCAATTTATCTGTGGTACCATACCGGCGCCATTTGGTGGAGCTATATAATGAGCTGTTTAGTATTGAGCGGCAATAATGCATGAAAGGGTTACCCACGAGGAAAAGTAGGCGCTTGGCTTGGAGGTGGTGGATAAACAACTTGTTCAGACATCTTTCGCTCAGTCAATTACTGCTGCTAGGTCTATACTAGCTGTGAGTGAACGGCTCAATCTGTCTTCCGCATTTACCGGGGCTTGGATCGCAATGAACGATGTTTGATATAGATACAGAGAGAAACTTACTCTGAAAATGGATTGCTGGGAATCCTTGGCCCCAAAGCTGGACGTGCGAAACGGAGATACTTCAAGTAAAGAGAAAGAGCAGCGGTATTTAGAGATTCTTTTCTAGCTGCAAGGAATTCAAAAGACAGCAATATAATTGTAGATCGTTCAGTGCATTGACTAACGAAGAAAGAAAATCCAAGGCACTTAGAAAAAGCCGAAAGAACTGGGAGCAGAAACTCCCAGTTTAAATTATTGGGAGCAAGCATGGCTGTCGGCGATGAGGAGATGGATCGGGAGGAGCTCTGGTCGCAAACCAAGCAGAGCTACTGCATGGTGATCGCCGTGGGCGCTTAGAGAAGGCCTCTGATAGCCTCGACGTGTGACACTCGAGGGGGGCAGCCGGCGCTAACAAATGCCATTGGCTGGCGGATTAGTGCGTCGGAATAAGTCAAGACCCAATCCCAGGTGAAGTCCAGAGAAGGCATTCGTGTCTGTCAGAGCAATGAGGGGAAGAACTGGGGGTGGAGAGCAGATTGGTGCTTGGCCCTCACGATACGCGCCTTCCCAACTCTTGTGTGGCTGTAAAGCAACATCACTTCGGCAGAGCGACCGAGGACATCATGAAAGCATATTAAATACCAAAGCCTTATCCGTACTTGGCAGTGTAATGGGAAATTATGCCTGTGTATTGCGAGAGTATTGTGCTTTTTTCATGCCCTTGACCCTGAGTATAGCCTCTTCTCGCAAGTCTATGTACTCGTCTGCGAGTTTCCGGCCATAGATGCGGCTTCCAAGAGAGCTAAAATATCTAAGCGGTTTCTTTGATGGGCCTCGTCAAGAGCATTCATGCCGTTATTGTCCGTTTGATAAATATCGGCCTTATTATCCAGCAATAGGCGGATGATATCCACTGACGCGTAGTTGTACACAGCCAAAGTTAATGGTGTGCAGCCGCAATCATCTTGAACGTTAACTCTTGCTCCATAGTTTAAGAGCAACTCGACCATTTCTTTTTGATTATCCGATGAAGCATGAGTTAGAGGTGTCCTGCCATCTCCTGCGACATTATCAATGTATCCACCTCTGTCGAGAAGCAGACGTACGATGGCCAATTGATCGTGGCGAACAGCAAGGTGTAGAACACTAAAACCTTGCCTGTCTTGACGGTCGATCTTTGCTCCGTGATCAAGGAGCAAACGAGTAATGCGCTCATCCCCCTGACCGGCAGATATACCGAGTGGGGCTATACCGCTGGACTTTATGCCCAGGTCTGCATCTGCTCCGTTGGCTAGCAGTCTCCTTGTTGCCTCAAACTCCTGGTTTGCGACGAGCTCATACAAGGCCGTATATCCTTCATATTCCTGATTGTTGATGTTTGCACCGTGCCGGATGAGTGTTTGTATTGCTGAGTCTGCTCCGCATCTTGCTGCGAATACGAAAGCCTTCTGTGCCATCGCCCCGTAGTGCTGCCCAACCTCAGCCCATTTGACTAAGAGCCAGTGACAGATAGCAAGTTGACCATTTTGAATGACCCATTCAAGACAGAGTTGGTCCTCACATCCAGGAACCTGTCTCTCGAACATGATGTCCGCTCCGTGAGTGAGCCATCCCAATATGGTTTGCTCAGCACACTTCTTTTTATTCTGCTCGTCATCACAACCAGGAACTGGTAAGCCTAAGTCTTCAAAGTTAGCTACAGACTCAATAGATGCCTTCATCTGGTGTCTGTCGACTTTATTGTTAGAAATGTGCCATGTAATATACCCGAGCTGCCGAGAAAATTCGCTCCACCAAGCCTGCTGGTGACGGGACTTCATCCAGTCCACCGGTCGAACGCTTTTTATACCATTGAAATATGTCAACCTGAGATCACCCTGTAGGAGAGAGAGCAACACGTCTAGTCCTTCCTTTCGGACTGCATCCTCAATATGTTGAATTGCACGCTGACAGAGGTAGCCAAGCTCATAGACAGAACGCTCGAACTCTTGGCCTTCAGAACGCTCACAGAGCCATCGAACAATGGCAAAAGCTTCTGACCATTCATCATTCGAAATGAACCTCTCAATCTGCGCCCTCACCCTGTGCGAGTCTGCCGCAAGCTCTGGTAGAAGCTTTCGAGCTTTCAAGACCGGAACGATGCATAGTAGGGCATCTTCTCTTGAACCAAGGTTTCCTGACTCAAAACAAGCCACTAACTCGTCGATGCGGCTGCTGTATGCGATATAGCCGTTTTGTGAGCCTGAACGCACATCCACGTCGCTGCCAATTGTTTCAAAGTCTTGAAGGACGCTCCTGAGGAAGTGAATGTAAATATCCTGAGCAGCCATGGTTTCCAGATTATTCTGCGTTTTCACGACAAGTATTTCCTTGTTGCCAGGATTCTTATCGGAATAGAGCCCGAAGAGTTCGCTGCCAAATGACACGGTCTTGGATGAAGCCATCCTCGCGTCCGTATGGCGGTAAATCCATTTGTGGAAATAAAGGTCTGTTTCTTCTGCCATGGCCTCCGACTTGGTCAATCCTACAGCGCGATCAAGCCCGGTCTGGAGCCATTTCGAATCTGACCTCAAAAGTGACCAAGTCCATAGCCCTAGCACTGCCTCGAGCTCGGTCTCATCAATTTTCCATAACAGCGTATCTTCCGATCTATGGAGCTTGATGGTGTAGGTTTCCAGCGCAGGATTGAAAACGCCTTTGTTGAGAGATTGGCAGGTGAGCATGAGGTCGAAGCTAACGGTATCCCCAGTCACGTCCTTCCAACCTGATAACAAGTCCATCGTTCTTTCTATCGTGTCCGCCAGCTTCTGGGCTCTCTGCCTGATTGGCAGACCATTCCAAGCTAAGCTAGACTCTTTGTCGGGGTTAGATGTAAGGCGGGCTAGTTGAGCCCTTGTCGTTATAAGTTTCGTTCCAAGACCGGGTGTCTTACTTGGAGTCTGTGTTGATGCAGCAGCTGACGAAGTTGTCGACTGAGCTCGAGATCTATGTGGCTGGCTCGAGACCAAACCAAATGATCTGACTTGCTCAAGATGGAACGCGAAGCAGTCAAGCTCTTGCTCATTATAAGACACAAGATGACGTTCTTGAGCTGTTAGGCGGTTCTCGTCTGACCCGGACCTCTTGGTCCGAAGGCAGGCTCTGACGATGGACATTAGGAGAGTAGCGCCCATTTCTGCCAGAACCACAGAGGCATGCAGTCCTCGGATACCGACAAACTGGATGACAAACCCAATAAGGGTAATAACCACAGTAAACATCAGCAAGGGACCTTTTCCAAAAATTTCAGGGCTCCTGACTGATTTAATATACAAGAGGTCTTCAGTCGCCTTGGAATTAGGTCCCTCGCTGACACCAAGAAAAGCGCCGAAGACCTGGTCACCGACATCCTGCCCACCGGGCTGTAACCAGTAAATCTTGCTGGGTTTTGCAGGTCTAATGTAGCATTCGGTGGATGAGCGCTCAATGATGAAGGCGCACAGGAACATTCCGATGCAGAGAAAGATAGACCCAAGGGAAAACAGCGGAAAAGCATAGCTGACGACAAGGCTTCCGTCTTTCCTGAATTGTACTGGGAAGAGGTATACAGTTATTGCAGCGTATACAATGACCCCTGACATGATTTGTCAACATAGGCCACATGCAGTACCAAAAACGTGCCAGCGTCAACTCACCAACTTGCAGGCCTAGCCCCAATACCGCAGCAGCATAGAACCAGCCCTGGCTGCTTTTCTCAATTCCTTTGTTCAATGACAGATTCGGGATGTCGAGCTCAGGCAAATATTCCTTCTCATCGAGAATCCAACTTCCTTTGCCCGCCAACCAAGCGCCCTCACGGAGGGCATCGCGTAGAGTCCCAATCCGATAGGAGCGCTCCTTCGTCTGAGGATCTGTCTCCTCCCAGGCAATAACCTCTAGCAACCGAGGTCTTCCAAATACTCTAGAGATTCCTCCATTGTTAAACATCTCCGCGGTTGTCTCAGAAACACAAGACAAGAGCTCATTTTCAGCTTCACCAGGGCCCTCTTGAGCCCTTCCTATGAACGCGCGAAGAGACGAGTTCCCGGAAACACGAATGACGGAAACCACAGCCGTCAAGATCCCCAAAGGGGCCACAGAGAAGAGGAAGTTATCTAGGATACTGGTTGATTCAGACAAGAACTGCTTGCTAAGTCGTTCACCAAAAAGGGATATTAGAGGCGCCTAGAATCACAATGTCACCAAAATGCCCCAAAATATGTCTGAAAGAGGAAATACCAAGTCTGTAGCAAGGTCGTCTGCAAAGTCATCCCAGCCGGTGGCCAAAGCACCGGGAAGTAATGATAGTATAGCAATAAGCGATAGATGCCACACCATGGTGAGGCACGCGGTATGACAGGCAGTCTGACAAGAAAGTTTAAAATCGTGCCTCTAAATCATCGGTGTGAAAAGGATATAGCTGGATCAAATACATTTGCTATATTTACTAACATCTAACCCTCCGGGATTGCTGCAGCTCAGCCTTGTCGCCTGTTCACAGCCCCGCGCGGACTCGATCGAAACACCAGCTCATCTTGCATCCCGGCGGTTCGAGCAATGTCTTTGAATCGTTGTTCAACGAATCGCAAATGAGAATTGAGTGAACACCAAGTAACTAAACGCCCTTGTTATGCATAAGGGTTGTAGGCCGTCTGTAAGTGGACACTTCGTTGTGGCGCATCATAATCGTCGGCGCTAACAGGAGTCGATCGTCGTTTCTCATGCCGGAGCGAGGGGAGATTGACTCGCCCTTAGAGGCTTAACGTTGTAGAATACCGTTAAAGCGATCGAAGCTCTAGCGCTGAGATCACCGGAAGAACAATGAATAAAGGCGGGAAATAAAAATATTCGGGGTCTACTGTGATATCTTCCATGGCGGACTATGGAGCGGTAAAGCCGCAATCGAGGACAGATACAGATACGTTATGAACAACCTCTGTCCGTAGTTGGAAAGACACATCCCAATTACTTCTAAGACTAGAATGCTTTCACCATTAACACAAGTAGTCTGCGACGCGCTATCCCAACTGACCCGAACTAAACGGTTTTGCCGATAATAATGAAATGAAAAGTGAACCACCAACGCCATTCCCATGAGCAAATGAGGGTAAGCGAAAGAAACATCAAATGGCGCCTTTCTGGCCTGCACTTAAACGAGAACTGTAAAGAAAACAATGTTTCGTCTGCCTGAGCACCTAGAAGATGCTGTTGACAATGTTCGAACCCATCGTAGCACCGGCACCGAAGATAGCTAGACGTGATTATCAGTAAAATTGACCGTATATTTAATGACGTTCGGCGCATCAATCTATATGGCGATCGAATGCGCATCGCTTTAAACGTACCGGCATTGCCCATCTTCTTGCCAAACTTCTTGCCCTGCTCCTCGAACTTGGACTTCTTGCCCTCTTCACCAGGGGGCGTCGAACCACTCTGGCTGACTTCCAGAGGCATGTTTCCATAGTTGGTCGGGGGAGGAGACGAAACGGCCTTTTCGTTCAGCACGTTCACATAGCTCCGAGGGAAGATACCCTCGAGGTTGGTGCGCTCATTACGACCACGCCACCCTATAAACAGCGGTTAGCAAGGGAGGCTGCACACAAGGGGTATTGACAGCCTTACAGTCGGCATTCATGTGTTCCAAGACTTGAATACGATCGTGTGGTTGCAGAGCCAAGTCTCCGGGGTCCGTCGGAGTGTAGGCATAGAGCGCTGAAGCGATAGACAGTACCGGTGGAGCTTGGGGATAAGCAGGTGGCGGAACAGGCGGGGTTGAGTACTGCTGCGGAGGAGGCTGCTGATAAGTGGCCTTCTCGTTCAAGGTGGTGTTTGCAAACTGGTTCGTAGGAGGAGAGTATGGGGCAGGGGGCTGCTGGGCGACGACAGGTGGTTGTTGCACTGGTGGCTGCTGCTGAGGCACGGGGGCTCTGCTGCGTTCATCGTCCCTTGGTAGTTGCGATAGAATGGATGAGAGCTGTTGCGGAGTAATGACTGATGCGTCTGCGAGAAACTCAAGTTCCTAGTGGACCGAAGGATGTCAGCAAGGTGCATAATTGAAGATCAGCTCGAGCAACTCCGTTTACTGAGCGATGCTGACAGGGGAGGGCATCCTACCGATCGGACGTTGCGGAGCGACCGGTTGGTCATAGCCGAGAAGAAGTCGGACTGGGACGCCATGCTCATGGAGTGGATAGAACGGAAAAGCACACAACAAGAAGGTATCAAACTTTTGCAGATATGCAGATCAAACGAAGACAGTGAAAGACAGGGTTGAAAGAATGAGACAGAGAGACGGATGGGATGGAGCGAGTGGACGGAGGCAATCGATAATGAATGAATAATAATGTAACGGCATGGCAGGCCCGCCAGTTGGTTCTCCCTCTACTTACTAGTCAGTTGGTACCTGAGGCCCCCAGTTCTGGTGGTGGGTTGCGGGCCGCTAATTGGCTCCGAGAATTTAGTCGGTCTTGTCATTTCAGGCATCACCATATCACAGGCGCCCTTTTGAGACATTGGTCCCTGACTGGGTTTCGGTTGAAGAATCCACATTGTCTAGTTTTCCAGGGTGATGATCGGAGCTTATACTAACACTGTATGCCTTGTATATTTAACAGCGAGAGGAGAATTTGGCCCTTACGAATCTTTGCCACAGGCATTCCCCGGCTATCCGGAGTATTACTTAGGAATGAACAAGACACCTGTCGCTAAATACGACCCTTCGAGACCTACTCCTAATAAGGGGCAGCTCTTTTAAGTGGGGCTTGAAATTTCTCCGCTTAGTGATTGACATATAGTCGTACTCGTATGTGCTTGATGTCAAGATCAGACTGCATTGCGATCTGATTCCCACAATGTCTCTCCTTACCGAATACACTATGGTCTACGGGGCTGGGATGGGTTGCCCAAATGATCCGTTCTGAAAATCAGCTTATACCCGAGTGTCTACTGAGCGTGGAGATTGTTCTTATGAAGCCTGAGCGCCTTTGATAAACAAAGCAACCTGAATCGCAACTAAATCAATGCTGGCAGCAAGGAAACCCATCAAACGCCTACCATCTTGCACTGCAGCAAATCAGCAGCCCAATCAATGACAGAAACCAGATTAAGCAAGGAAAAATACCTCCAAGCAGCCTCTTACTTTCTTCTTAGTTATCGCCAACGTATGAGCTGTGGTAATATTCCGCAATATTCGATGCCAGTTCGGGATCAAGGGCTTTGAGGCGTGAGTCTGGTCGGTAGAATCCTCGATAACGCATGCAGCAGCCACATTCGGCAGTACAGTGGCCATGAAATCCAATCATTTCCTTCTGGCCGCCCTCGGGCAAGAGATAGTGCCGCAGAGGTCTCTCACAGCATCTACATCTGCGACCGCAACAGCCACCAAGCGAGGCGCACATGAGCTTGTCCTCCTCCCATGCCAAAGTTTGGCCCTCTTCGTTTCTGTGATGCTGAAGGAAGTCAAACTCGTCGATGATAGGACCAGATGGTTTGTCAAGGGTCAACGCTTTCCATGCCTTCTGGCACCGGTAGTAATGCTCTTCTGCAAGGGAGACTTGACGTTTCGGATCCGCGGGCCCCGGGACATGCTGGAAGGGATTTTCTGGCTCAATACCACGTCTGTATTTGACCCTTTCCAGACAGTTAATCCGCTGCAGGAGGGCGAACTGTAGCTCCTCGTTCTCCTTGTAGCGCTTGATCCAGTCTTTTTGGATGTTGCACTTGCTTGGCCTATGCTTCTCATATAATCTTGCCCTGTCATAGAGACGACGTCTGAGATTGTAGCGTTCGTCTTTGATCACCCGGAGCCAGATAGGCCTGAGTATATCTGACATTAGATCAAAGGGTCTGTGGATAGTCTCCTTCAGCATCAGCGACGCATGTGACTCGCAAGTCGGAGAGAGCTTGTGGGTGGTCATCTTTGATGGCGTCCTCTGCTTTCCCTTGATTTTCGTTGATTGTTTTTCGAAAGTTAAGTCTGGCAGTCAAGAGAATCCTTCTGCCAGACATTATATTTACGTATACTGACGTAGTAGAAACAGCGTCAGGATGAGGACATGGTGTGTGCTGGACCACGGAATCATAGTTCATCAGTATATTGGGTTGGACAAATAACGCTGAGCATGTATATGTCTTTACACACTATAAAAGCCAGCGAACGCCAATAAAATAGGGCATATTGATGTGAAAATATGACACCAGTTAAAAGCAGTGTATTGATTTTATCTCTCTTCACCTCGGACCTATACTACCGTATACAAGACTCAACTTACTTCCAGATATAGTAATATACACCCTATGGACGAACCAGCACAATAATTACAGCCAAACAACACCACCCAAATGGCATATTCCTAATCAGCACTAAGCACAAATACCACTGTCATCACAGCATAATCAATAAGAATCCCAGACAACCGACTCACTCTGACTCACCTTACACAAACCCCCAAGCAAAGCGCAGCCCAGAACCTCAGCCAACAATCGGGCAACGTACGGGGAAAGATTGGCCGATCCATGATGTCAGCAGCCCTAACCCAAAGCGGACTAGCGCATACCGCCCCTCTGACTCCGCCATCCCAGGGCTCGAGAAGCTTCCGTGGCGTCGATATAAATTCAGCGGGCCTTGAACATCCCTCCTTACGACACACCTCACGCGATCGATTTTGACACTCACGCACCGCCACCCTCACATCCTCCACCCACACCACACCCCTTAATCAACCCACCATCACCGCTAGAACGTCTATCTCATCACCGACTTCTCATCCATCTTCAAAATGAGCGACTGGGACTCTGTTACGCGCATTGGAGCCAGGCACACTGGTGGCCCTGCCACCCGCGAGACCGTCGTCAAGGGTAAGAGCGCCTTGAACGCCGCCCAGCGTAACGGTCTCGTTATCGGTACTGAGAAGAAGTATGCTACTGGTAACGCTGTAAGTTTAACCATATAATTCGCCCCTGGGGTTGGTTTCGAGAAGCAGTGAGAGCGGGGTATGCTAACACACCATATAACAGGCCGGACGCTCCGGTGCCCCCGAAGGCCAGCACCTGACCAAGGTCGACCGCAGCGACGACATCGTCAAGCCCAAGACCGTTGGCTACCAGGTGGCCGATGCGATCAAGAAGCGCCGAAACGAGGACGGCTACAAGATGACTCAGAAGGAACTCGCCACCAAGTGCAACACCACCATCACTGTTGTTCAGGACTTCGAGCGCGGTACTGCTGCTCCGGACCAGAAGGTCCTCAGTGCCATGGAGCGCGTGCTGAACGTTAAGCTGAGGGGTACGGGCATCGGGCAGGAGAAGTTCCCTAAGAAGAAGTAAAATGATCGGGGGTGAGCCCGCGGCTTTTTCTTGGGGGAAATGGGGAGTGAAAACTGATGATTGATTGAAAATGCTTTTTTTTTCCATCACACCTTTTTACTCTTTCAACGGCTTTTTCTTATGGTTTTATTTGGTCACGCCCCGGGTTTACTTACGACCTCTTTCTTTTTCTTTTTCGAGAGACTTTTTCGGATGTTACGTTATGAATGAGATCCCATGATTCTTTACTTCTTTATCCCCCGTTCCCCGCTGTTTGTGGTTCTGCTGGTCGGAAGAGCGCTGGCCTGGTATTCGTTTATGTGGGGAGTGATATGTGGTCTTCTCTGGGGAAGATGAAAAGTGAAAGAAAAGATCATACATATTGATAGAAATGTGCAGTTTGCGGGTATTCGTGTTCCTAGAGTATTATTTGGTACTCGAGAGATAGAACATTGAGCTGTACGTTGAGCACGGATCAATTGTCTAATATAAACAAAATACTAAAACGTGATACTACAAAGTCGCCCGAAACTGGATACCTTAATGTAGATCGACAAGTGTCAGCCAGTACTTGGTATGTGACTAGCTTGAAATGGAATATGGCATGAGACATCAAACAAATAGTAAATAATCCTGCTCAAAACAGACCAGAATAACCATCCTTATCGTTCTATGTACAAGCTACAAAGGTTGCTAAAGCCTGCCAGTCAAACTCAATTTTACTACCAACTAGCTATCTACCCAACTTTAAACCTGATAAACTCCCTCAAATTGAACCCCTTTTACACTATCATCCCTTAATATGCGCTTTGAAGTTGTATTCTGTGCCATCAGCACCTTTTGTTTTACTTCCTCTTAGCCAATGTCGGCCGCTTGATCTTAGCTGCAGTCATTGAGAGCCTTCTACGTTTCATAGATCAGGCTCACGCCAAAGACCAAAGCGTCTACCCCAATGAGATGATAGCAAAATTAGATGGCGCCTGCTCCCTGATCGAATCCTCGAGCGCTTTCGAACACCAAAAGAAAGACCAGCAATGCCACGACTTTGAGCAAGAAGGCAAGACAATTGACCGTCGTCAGGTAGCCACTGACGATTTACTCAACTCTCTTCTGGTATGTTACATGCTCCATTGATATGTATTGTCAACTGACATCACATCCTCTAGGAATTCCTCTCGGTAAGTAGGCACTTAACGTCTTCGCCAGAGCTGAATTGTTCTGTACTGATCACTGCGATTCGGTTCCAGGAATTACTTTCTGTAAGTGAATACATAAAGCCCATTACCGGTTCGATTAGAGTCTAACCATCTCTTTCAGCAAGCTTAAAGCCCGTAGTAGGCAAGCGATCGTCCAAGATGCTTCCTGCTCTTTCGGTACGTTTCATGTTCTATCAAGATGCATGGTGAACTGATATACCCTATACTTTTGTTGGTAAGTACGTCTGAGGATTTGGCGGGACAATCAGTACTGATTGTCGTGCTCATTTTTCAGAGCCTTCTGAATATGAGTGAACAGAGTATCTGATGTGTATCAGGTTCGGGATTTACATCTTATTTTGTGTTGAGTTTCTAGTTTGTATTCTTGATAAGGCATCATGACTACAGGATGCCGTCTTTCGTGTATGGAAGTATCTGGTAGCTTTCACTCCGCTGCAGCTTAGGTACTTGAACTGGTGTGGAATGAGAGCAGTTCTAATGCTGATATGATGAATCTTGACCTCAGCGAAGCGGGCGACGTCATGGGTAGTAGTTGTTCGACCAGAAAAGCTCATTACAATACAGCCTTTTTCCCATATAGGATAGCGCCTGGGCATTTAGGGTCGAAACCAGCTCGTTATATGTATAATATAATGTGGAATATGGTTGCGGATGGCTCTGTACATTTATGTTCATGAGAACCAGCCACTAATAATAGCGTGAACTTGAAAGAGGAAATGAAGCAATGTAGTTTCTTTTATTAGGACACAAGAAAGCGACCAGAAAAGCAAATGGTACCAACTCCGACTTTATCATGGTTAAGAAATGATGAAAAAGAACTCATGCCCTGAATCGCCCCGAGGTCTCTTTCTCGTACCGCCGTGCTGCCTGTCCTTGCTACTTTTGGTTTCTTTTGTAGTAAGTAAAGGAGAAAAATGATATCATTCTTCGCCTCATGAACACATACACACACGATGGCGTGTTTTAAAACTGGTAGGTAGGTAAGATAGGGGAGGAAAAAAACTAGAAAAACTCTTGCAAAACTTTCGTCACACTCGCTTCACACTTCACTTCCTCAGCTGCTCGCGCTCGACCTCGTACATGAAGTCGAAGTAGGGCTTGTCGAAGTGGTGCACACGGACGTAACCGTCCTCACCTCCAGAGGCGTAGGCAGTACCGGCGGGGTGGATGTGAACCGTGTTGAGGGGACCGAAATGACCACGGACACGACCGATCTCGTCCTCGAAGACCTTGTGGTAGAAACGAGCCTCGAACTTACCCTGGCGGGCCGAGGTCGTGGTGACATCCATGGCGGCCTGACCACCTCCCAGGATCACGTAGTCCTTCTTGGGCGTAATGGTGGCGCTGTTCAGGGGAGTGTCGGCAACATAGGTTTTGAGGATGGCGAGGTTACGGGTAGACATGAGCTGGGTTGAGTTAGCATTTAAAATCGTTTGACATGCATAGTAGCAGGCTTATGTACCTTGGCGGACTTGTCCTTGGAGGCAGTGATGAAGTAGGTGCGGTCGGCGGAGAACTGGATGTCGTTGATCTGGTGGTCGAACTCGTGGGCCTGGACGTTCTCCAGCTGCTCACCGGTCTGTCATCACCCAGTTAGCATCTAGCCCCAAATGCATAACAAAACACAAGCATTTCTCCGCACCTTTCCATCGTACTGGCTGACACTGCCGTCTTCGTGACCAGCAATGATGTACTTGCCCATGTAACTCCAGCCCGCAACCGTTGCCTTGCTCTCTGTGCAGGTGATGCGCAAGCTAGGCTCCTCAGCCTGCTCCGTCAAGTTCTCGCCGTAGTTGATATCCAACACCGCAATGGTACCCAAGAAACCCCATACGCTTCTCCGTCACAGGCCAACAGTCTGCTTCCATCGGGGGGTGAACTCGAACCCGCTTGACGGCCGTAGGGAAGTCCCACACCTTGATGCACTCGCCGGTCTTCACGTTCCATAGTCGCACGGTGTTGTCTGCCGAACCGGTTGCCAGAATCTGAGTGTTCGGGCTCACATCGACCGTCCAGATAGCACCCTGGTGTCCATTGTAGGTACCGAGTCGCTCGCCGTTGGCCGACCACCAGGCGCACACAATTTTATCCTTAGCCACGGAGAAGATAAGATCGCCATCGCGGTTGAACTTGATTTGGTTCAGAGACCGTTCCTATTAAGCAAAAAATCAATCAGCGACCCGTCCTTATTCCCTTTTATTTCCCGATTTTCATATCATGTTCCTAGCTCCTGGGCGACCATCATCGCGTTCGGGGGTGGGTATAGGCGAAACGCACATGGCCGGAGAGCAAAATAGGCCGCATTTTGGGCCGATCAAGCTGTGAATCTGGGTAAGGCGACGGAGGGAGAGAAGATGCTGAATCAGAGGTATATGTCCTCTGTAACCGGAGTCGACTAAGACTTGCGAGATGAGGCGGAAATCCTTGCGGGGTGCTGGCGGGCTCACGTTGTCGGCGTCGTCAGACTAGTTTGAATTTCATCGCACAGTCCGGGCTTGCCCGCCAAGACTTTCCTGTTCGAGCCTGTTCTGTATGAAACGATCCATACCGGATACAGGGTTCTTCCGTTGCGATAATACACATCATGTGATCTGACCAAGCCCTGAAGTCTTCCTACCAATCGGGGTTGGAAAAACGTGATGAGCTGACCGCCAACTGCGCGCTATACCAAATGCAAACATATGGCGTTCCGAAACTCCGAAGCATCTGAAAGTTGCGGCTCGCGGGAAACTTTGTCTTGTGAAAAACAGCAGAACAATGGTAAAGGAGGAGGCATTGAGGATCGCAAAAGGAACATTTTCACCCACTAGAACTATAGAATATAAACAGATCAAAAAGATCAATTGGGAGTGCCGCATACACTGAATACTTTCAGTGTTGCTTGGAAGCTAATGATTTCAATTATTCACCGTTATTACTCGCGTTTGCGTTGATCGACCCTTTCCCTATCTCCATCTGACCCGGCCGAGGAAAGCTGGTTGGCACTGGGCCAACCGACGAAGCAAATTAGATGCCTTTCCCCCCCGCTTGTTCGGCGACACTACCCCGCTGTGCTGTCAACGCGAAGCATTCTTATACCCTTTCCCCAAGTCAACGTTTTTACCCACTACTTCCACCTTTTCGACGTCAATTTTTCTCTTCACGCGGGGTCACGTCTCGTATCCGCTCTACGCCGTTATCTGCAAGACCTGGCGTGCTAGCTTGCGACTGGCTTGGTTGCGCACCGTCTTGTCATCATCGTCCATTCTCCGGCACCAGGACAGCCATGGCAGCCACCAACATCAACGGCACCCAGATTGCCAAGAACATCCGGGCAGGGTTGAAGGAAGAGATCCAGAAGATCCAGGAATCGAATCCCCGCTTCAAGCCTAGTTTGGTGATCTACCAGGGTGCGTGTTGCTGTCACAGAGATTTGCCCCGCGGTCAAGAATGAGCTGACAGTGCAAATTGAACAGTGGGAAGCAGATCGGACTCGAGTAAGTCGTAGGCGTCGCGTTGGTGGGAAGGTTGTATAGACTGATTCATGTTTCAGGCACCTATGTGCGTATGAAATTGAAGGCCGCAGAGGAGGTGCGTCATTACTTTCTATCACCGTCCTTCAATTGCTCAGTTACTGACACGCTCCGATTAGGCCGGTATCATCTGCAAGATTATCAACTTCCCCGAGGACGTCACACAGGCCGAGGTCCTCCAGGAGATCACCAAGTCCAACAATGACACCTCGATCCATGGCATTCTCGTCCAGCTGCCTCTCCCCCAACACTTGTCCGAACATACCATCACCTCTGCTGTCGCCGATGAGAAGGATGTCGATGGATTCGGTGCGATCAACATCGGTGAGCTGGCTAAGAGGGGCGGTCGCCCTCTCTTTGTCCCCTGCACTCCGAAAGCTGTGATGAAGCTTCTGGCGGAGAGCGGCGTCGACCCCTCCGGAAAGCAAGCTGTGGTTCTTGGCCGCAGTGACATTGTCGGAAGCCCGGTCAGCTATCTGTTGAAGAATGCTCATGCCACCGTGACTCTATGCCACTCGAAGACCCCCGATATTGCACGGATCGTCAAAACCGCCGATATCGTCGTTGCAGCCATTGGACAGACCGAATTTGTCAAGGGTGATTGGCTGAAGCCTGGCGCCGTCGTTATCGATGTTGGTATCAACTATAAGCCTGATGCCACCAAGAAGTCTGGTTCCCGACTTGTTGGTGATGTCGAATTTGAGTCTGCCGCTCAGGTCGCTTCCCAGATCACTCCGGTTCCTGGTGGTGTTGGTCCCATGACCGTGGCTATGTTGATGGAGAACGTGGTCTCCGCAGCCAAGGCGTACTTCGAAAAGCAAAGAGACAGACACATTACTCCCCTCCCGATCAAGCTGGCCAGCCCCGTTCCCTCCGACATTGCTATCTCGCGTGCCCAATACCCTAAGCAGATTACAAACCTCGCCTCAGAAATTGGCATAGAGCCCCACGAGCTCGAGCCCTACGGCCACACCAAGGCTAAGGTCAGCCTCAGTGTGCTCGATCGTCTGTCCCACCGTCGCAATGGTAGATACATCCTGGTCTGTGGTATTACACCTACCCCTCTCGGTGAGGGCAAGTCCACAACTACGCTTGGTCTCTCGCAGGCTCTTGGTGCACACCTCGGCCGCATTGTCTTCGCTAATGTGCGCCAGCCTAGCCAAGGCCCTACGTTTGGTATCAAGGGTGGAGCTGCTGGTGGAGGATACAGTCAGGTTATTCCCATGGATGAATTCAACATGCACTTGACTGGCGATATCCATGCCATCACCGCCGCTAACAACCTTCTCGCTGCCGCCATTGAGACTCGCATGTTCCACGAATCTACTCAGAAGGATGCTGCTCTCTACAAGCGTCTCGTCCCCGCCAAGAAGGGCGAGCGCAAATTCCAGCCCATTATGTTCCGCAGACTGAAGAAGCTGGGTATCACTAAGACCAACCCCGACGACCTTACCGAAGACGAGATTCACCGGTTTGCCCGACTTGACATTGACCCCGAGACTATCACTTGGCGCCGTGTTCTGGATGTCAACGACCGTCACCTCCGGGGCATCACCGTGGGACAGGCTCCCACGGAGCGTGGCCACACTCGTGAGACGGGCTTCGATATACTCGGTTGCCAGTGAATGTATGGCTATCCTGGCCCTGAGCAACAGCCTGGAAGATATGCGTGAGCGTCTTGGACGTATGGTTGTTGCTACGTCGAAGAACGGCGACCCTATCACCTGTGACGATATTGGTGCGGGCGGAGCTCTTGCCGCCTTGATGAAGGATGCCATCAAGCCCAACCTGATGCAGAGCTTGGAGGGTACGCCTGTCCTGGTTCACGCCGGCCCCTTTGCCAACATCAGTATTGGCGCAAGCTCGGTGATTGCCGACAAATTGGCTCTGAAGCTCGCGGGTACGGAGCCCGATGAGGATCACGAATCCAAGACCGGCTTCGTGGTGACGGAAGCTGGCTTCGACTTCACCATGGGCGGTGAGCGGTTCTTCAACATCAAGTGCCGGTCTTCCGGACTCTCCCCGGACACTGTGGTCATTGTGGCTACTGTGCGCGCCTTGAAGGTGCACGGTGGTGGCCCTGAGATTAGCCCCGGTGCTCCTCTGCCGGAAGTCTACCGCACGGAGAACATCGATATCCTGCGCAAGGGCTGTGTTAACCTGAAGAAGCACATCGAGAATGCTCGGCAGTATGGAATTCCCGTGGTGGTTGCGATCAACCGCTTCGAGACGGACACGGAGGCCGAAATCGCAGTCATCCGCGAGGAGGCCATTGCGGCCGGCGCANAGGACGCGGTCCCCGCCAACCACTGGGCTGAGGGCGGAGCCGGTGCGGTGGACCTGGCCAGGAGCGTGCTGGCAGCTAGCTCCAAGCCTAAGGAGTTCAAGCTCCTGTACGACCTGAACGGCAGCATCCAGGAGCGTATCGAGCGGATCGGCACCGCCATGTACGGAGCGGAGAAGGTTGAGTTCAGCGAATTGGCCCAGAAGAAGGTCGACACCTACACTGCGCAGGGCTTCAACAACCTGCCCATCTGCATTGCCAAGACGCAATACTCGCTCAGTCACGACCCGGCACTCAAGGGCGCCCCCACTGGCTTCACGGTTCCCATCCGGGACGTTCGGCTAGCAGTGGGTGGTGGATATCTGTAGGCACCCCGTCTCAAGTTCTGCTTAGTTTGGATCCATTTAGCTAACCCATTGTGATTACAGGTACGCACTGGCTGCGGACATCCANACCATCCCCGGATTGCCGACGGCGCCTGGATACTTGAATGTGGATATTGACCCTTAGAACAGACCGTCAATCTCTCCGGTCTGTTCTAGACGGTAGATTCAACGTCATTTAGTGCTTAGATTTGGGACTGGTTTTACTTTCATAATGTCATCGATTACTACTGTTTGATCTAGCATGATTTCTTGGTCACGATAAAAACGGGAAAAGGGAGAAAAAGGGAAGGGTTTATTTCAACATTTGGCGGCAGGACTTATACAGGGCCGGTGTTCTCGGGTCACTGAAGGAGGGTCAACTTCAACAGGATTGCAGTGTCTCTTTCTGGCGATATACATACAGACTACTATACTAGAAGAGGATCCGATGTAGAAATTCTACTGTGGAGACTATCTCAATATTGACTACGAAGTACTGAGTATAATTCATTATGATTCTGGGCTGGCGTGGGGAATGGATGAGTCATCGACAGTCTCCGGGGAGAAAAGTGGCAAGTCCGACGCTGCAGCGACTTCGGTGGTTGATGACCCGGCGGAGACGCAGTATCCGTTGCCGCGGGAAACAGCGGTTGCGATCGGCTGGACTGGTCGGAGATTTCTGCTTTAACGTTGCAGATACAGGGATGCGAACAGATTAGCAGAAAAGCAAATTACGTGGGATGGTGTCCGGTGCATTTGGGGTGTGACCATTCAAGTTGCGAGTTACGGCGTTATACTGAGGGGAGGTATACGTACCTGCACTGCGGAGGGACTCATCTTATCTTGATCAAGATTGATGGCGGCGGACATTGAGCAGGGGAGGGAGGAATGGAGAGAGTCTGGAGTACTCCGTAGGCGGGAACGGAATAGCGCAGCATTGGTTGTAAGGAAGAGGGTCTGATGCCACCACGGACTGCAGGTTGACCGGACCCAGTTCTCAATGGAAAAAAAGTAGTGTAATTTCCAAGGGAAGGGAACTTTTCCCCCCAGTCTGAGTCTCTGAGTCGAATAGTCCGGCTTCGGCGACCAGAAAGTCACAACGGTGGGCGGAAAAGGAAGTGGGTGTGTGTCAACTCCAAGCCTTGGGAGGGAACAACCACGCCGGATAAGAGGTGTTGGGGACCCTCCCATTTGCCTTTCCTCCCTCTCTCTCTCTCCTCTCCGTTCTTCCCTCTTCCTCCACCAAGGTCTCGATTTGTCTCTGCGTACTACTTTGCTTATTGCAGGAAGATTATTTCCCTGAGCGAACAGAACGATTTTCCGGGTTCTCCGATCTGCCCCGTGAAGGTCCCTTAAACCAGCAGCATCTCGTCCAGTCCGGCTTAACGGCAGCTTCCGAACTCCACCACCGCCTCCTTCCAGCCGAGAGCTTCACGGCTTGTTGCTTGTCTTTCCCTCGGGTACTCTCTCTCCCTCCCCTTCTCGTTGCCCCCAAGTTTCCCCTTGCAGCGTGGATTGCGATCCTCCTCGTTTCCCCGTACCCGATAAACATGATCCGCTTGGGCAGACTTTCCCCCGGTTCCTCCCACGCAGGCCACGCTTCACTGTCGAAATGTCGTCTGTCCGGTTCAGTTCCGCATTGGCGCGCCGCTCCTTCGCCGTCGCTTCCCCTCCTACTCTCTGCCCCTCTCTCTTCCTCCGCTCGTCGCTTTCTCTCTTCTTCCTCTTCTATTTCTTCCTCTTCCTCCTCTGTCTCTACTCGCTCTCCCAGATCTCTTACTTCTGCCTCTTCCCTGCTCTCCTCTCGTACTGCTTCTGCCCGCTGGACCGGTCTATCCTCGTTGAACCTTCCTCAATCCCGCACCATGGCTACCGAAATCTCCAAGATCAAGGTCAAGAACCCCGTCGTTGAGCTCGACGGTGATGAGGTATGTCTGATGTGAACTTTCCATGTTTTGGCTTCCCACCCCTCTCCTTTATATGTCCAATTCTGCATCTCGGCCCTGCCCCTCGTCGGGATGCACATTTTCGTCATGGCGCATTCTAGACGCGGGGAATTACGGCGGCTGCCGCCTGGGTCCCTGACAGCCAAGCGTCAATCATTCGGCGATCCAGGGCTCAATTGCAGCGCAGGAGGTAGTTTTGACATGTGCTAACGTTGGCGTTTACTAGATGACCCGTATCATCTGGCAGGAGATCAGAGAAAAGGTATGTAGTTGGCCCTACGGCTGCCCCGCCATGCATCAGCTCCAGATGCATTCCTCCCGTTCTCTCCCGCATCTTCACACGCTAACTCGGCCCCGCTTCTATAGTTGATTCTGCCGTAAGTCGATGTCTTCCGATTCTTGACTCATCCATCCAGCCGACTAAGACATTACTGCCTAGTTTCCTTGACGTCGACCTCAAGTACTATGACCTGGTAGGCTTCTTTGTGGCAAGAATTGGTGTTCTGGGGGGAGACTGACAGACATTGCAGGGTCTCGAATACCGTGACCAGACCGATGACCAGGTCACCGTTGAGGCTGCCGAGGCTATCAAGAAGTATGGTGTCGGTGTCAAGTGCGCCACCATCACTCCCGATGAGGCTCGTGTTGAGGAGTTCAAGCTGAAGAAGAGTACGCATACCGATCGGCATGTGAAAGAGGAGTCAATGTTAACCCTTGCTTCCAGTGTGGCTGTCCCCCAACGGTACCATCCGTAACATCCTGTTCGTATCCCTTGCCGCAATCCTTGTTATTCAGTTCAGTTTGCTAATCAACTCTGCAGCGGCGGTACCGTCTTCCGTGAGCCCATTATCATCNCCACCATCCCCCGTCTCGTCCCCGGCTGGAACAAGCCCATCATCATCGGTCGTCACGCTTTCGGTGACCAGTACCGTGCCACCGACCGTGTCATCCCCGGTCCCGGCAAGCTCGAGCTTGTCTACACCCCCGCCAATGGCGAGCCCGAGACCGTCCAGGTCTACGACTTCCAGGGTGGTGGTGTTGCCCAGACCCAGTACAACACCGATGAGTCGATCCGTGGCTTTGCCCACGCCAGTTTCCAGATGGCCCTGCTCAAGGGTCTCCCTCTGTACATGAGCACCAAGAACACCATCCTCAAGCGCTACGATGGTCGCTTCAAGGACATCTTCCAGGAGATCTACGAGAGCACCTACCAGAAGGACTTTGAGGCCAAGAACCTCTGGTACGAGCACCGTCTCATTGACGACATGGTTGCCCAGATGATCAAGAGTGAGGGTGGATTCGTCATGGCCCTGAAGAGTATGTCTTTCCCTCTTAAATGCAACTGAACGTTAGCTAACTGATCAGACTACGACGGTGATGTCCAGTCCGACATTGTCGCCCAGGGTTTCGGCTCCCTTGGTCTGATGACCTCGACTCTGGTCACCCCTACTGGCGAGGCCTTCGAGTCTGAGGCTGCCCACGGTACCGTGACCCGTCACTACCGCGAGCACCAGAAGGGCCGCGAGACCTCCACCAACCCCATTGCCTCCATCTTCGCCTGGACCCGCGGTCTGGTGCAGCGTGGCAAGCTCGACGAGACTCCCGATGTTGTTACCTTTGCTGAGGAGCTTGAGCGTGCTTGCATTGACGTTGTCAACGAGGAGGGCATCATGACCAAGGATCTGGCTCTGGCCTGCGGCCGCAAGGAGCGTGAGGCCTGGGTTACTACCCGCGAGTACCTGGCTGCCGTTGAGCGCAGACTCAAGGCCAACCTCAAGTCCCGCCTCTAAATACCCGATTGATTTTGCATTGATACACTTACGCTAGCGTGACTCATTGAGTCAAAACTCTTAGAATTACGGGTTGCATTTTATGTAGATTTTATGAAAGGGGATGGAGGGGTTGACAGGCAGTTGTTTTTAAAAACACATGTATACTGCAACTGAAGTTTGCCTCCCATGTCTCATGAAACTTGTACATGCCTGAATAATGAAAATACATTACGCAGTCTTCTGGATATTGTGCACCTTTCTAGACTTGAGCAGTCTTCCGGACAACTACGCAGTCTTCTAGACATTATACAGTTTTCTGGAACATTTCCTAAGCGAGCCCAGCAATGAATCTGGATGCCAACGGACCGAACCGTGGATACGAGCCAGTTGTGGTGGCACAACCAGCCCAGTTCTGCAATATCCGCGGGGATTTGACTTTATCAGTATCCTTGACGCAATAGATCTGGATCCGGCCTTGCAACCTCGGGCTTAGCATTTGGCCACCGACGACATCTGAAATCTTTTCTCCTCGTAAAAGGAATAACTACAAGAAAAGATGGCCTCTTCAATATCGAAAAAATATGCCGTTGCTTCCTGCATTCCCAGGCAGTAGACGTCGTCAGTTCACCGCAGCAGGATGTATGCCCTGCCCGTGGGAATCGTTTTCCTTTGCCTGGCGACGGTCACGGTCGCGTTGCGACTGTATACGCGATTGAAACTGGTGAGGAAACCGGGATGGGATGATTTGTTGATTGTGTTGTCGTTGGTAGGCAGTATACTTTCTGAATAGTTGATATGCAGTGCTGATATGATGTGATGTGTTGAGCATAGGCGACTGATGTGGTGTTCTTCGCTTTCCTTGTCATAGGTACGACGATGCGATGCTTGCATGCTATATCTTGAATGAACGATAAAAACTAACAATGTATACAATAGAAATCCAAAACGGCCTCGCCGAAAACGAAGCAGATCTTGCTCCGGAGGTGGTGAGGAGGCAATTAAAGGTATACTCCCCCTCTATACTACCCTATTTCCATACATGATATAGTTGCTAACCATGAAATGAATTTAATCAAGGCCCTCTGGATAACAATCCCCCTCTACAACCTAACCCTCACCCTCACCAAGTTATCCCTAATCTTCCTCTACCGCCGCCTCTTCCCAACCCACACCTACCGCATCCTCCTCATCCTCACCCTCATCTTCGTCATCATAACCGGCCTCTGGATGGTCCTCAGCACCTTGATCTTCTGCATCCCCATAAACGCCTTCTGGGATACGTCTATCCCGCATACATGTCTCCCCGAGGATGTAGTATGGTGTCTGAATGCCGCGTTCCAGATCACCACTGATCTGATACTTGTCGTGCTTCCCTTGCCCATCCTGGCGAATTTAAATCTACCAAAGAGGCAGAAAGCCGCGCTGTTGGTTATTTTTGCATTAGGGTTTTTGTATGTCCCCCTTGCCCTCTTATCTTATAACCCCCATCCCCCTCTTTCTTCCATCGGTATAGGAAAGAACTAACGATGGTAATGGTTACAGTGTCTGCGCAACAAGCATCGTCCGTCTATCAACCATCGTCCATCTCCTCCGAGACCCAGACTTCACCTGTATACTCCCTCCCGTACCCTACCCTATACCTCCAATCCATACTAACAAAATGATGAACAGCAGGAAACGGCCTCGCCGCAACCTGGTCCTTCGTCGAATCCAACGTCGCCATAATCTGCGCATGTCTACCCCCTCTGCGCCCGCTCCTCGTGCGCATCTTCCCCAAACTAATCCCATCACGAATGCGGTCCTACCAGAGAGACAAAGACTCCAGATCAAACAGCAATCCCAACAACAACAAAGCAGCAGAAGCAGCCGCAGGCCAACCACCACCAACGATAAGTAAATCTCGGACTAGGAAGTCTCTCTCGAAGAGAGGGTCGAGGAATGAGCCGGAACATATCGATTTTGATTTCTTGAGTGTGTATGGGGCCGGCGGGAATATGTTTGCGCCGGGGAGTACGGTTTCGACGAGTGTGTGGGGGGATGCGGGGAGTGTTAGGTCGGGGGTTGAGAATGGGAATAAGGATGGGGATGGGAATGGGGGTGGAGAGGGGGATAGTGGGGGAGAAGGGATTCAGATTATGAGGGAGGTGAGGTGGGATTCTGTTTCTGTTTCGGGGTCTGCGGAGGGGGCCAGTCATGGGACTGGGGGTTGGGGGAATGTGGAGGGGAGGTTGTCGGAGGGGACGAGGAGGTCGAGTGGTGCGCCGTTTTTGCATCCGCAGTGGGTTGGGGGGAATGGGTTTGAGTGGTAGTGTAGTATGGTATGTGTTGGTGTATACCCTATTTTGATGTGTGGATGTACTGTAAGGACTGCATAGTAGGTATCGGGAATCATTATGAACTAGCGCTACCTACTAGTGTTGATCAAGAATACTGAAGGAAAACTACATGACCCATCACCTCTTTCTAGTTGCCAAACCAAACTATACCGAGTCTGTCCAATCACTTAAGAACCCATTCAATCAAGTCCATCCTCTGAAATGCCAGTTTGAGCATGCTGTGTCTGATCACCTCCCTGGTTACCAGGTTGCTCCTGTCTAGTTAGCTACTGTAGAAGAGCGGACCAAATATAACGGGCTGATGAAAATGCAAATACCAAAAGACACACTCACCTCGGTGGTAGAGACAGGAGTCTCCGATGATCCTCCCATAATAGCAGCAATAGTACCAAGGCCCTATTCTTAGGGAAGGATCCACGTCGCCTTCGAATAACCGACCCCGGCGATTCGGTTCGTCTCGATGCGGCACCCGCCTCCTCCCAAGGAAGTTGTTTCCAGTGTCTCCCGAAGTTGCAGCTTCATCTTCCCCATTCGTCTGAGACCGGGCTTCTTCGACAGATCCAGAGGTTGAAGAGACTGCGATATCTGAAGCTCTGTTCTGACCTGACAAGGCTGCATGCCCTATTTGGACTGCTCGATCTCTCAGAGATGCCACGAATTCCTGGTCCGTCTGATCAGTCCCGTTCGTCGGGAATGCCTGCGTTGCTTGAGACGCTTGCTTTGCCTTGGATCCCTGGCCTAAATGAGACAAATCATCTAGAGGTGTTCCCTCCTCAAGCTGCACCGAAGGATTCGAATGACCTGGTGATTCTGGAGGAGAATTTGCAGGTGGATTCGTAGGCGGAGGAGTATCCTGATGAGACGGGGGATCCTGATCATTCTCCTGAGTCTGGTTATCCTCGTGAGTCTGATTGTTCGGCGGATGCGGAGTATCATGATCGCTCTGATTATCCCGACAACAGCACAGACACTTACACAGCTTCCCCAAACTTTGAGAAGAGAAGCACAATCCAACAAACGGACTAACATTCAAATTTGCCCCAAACGGCGGCTGCTCAAGTTTAAACGAGGGGTCCAGCAAGATAGAATTCGCAGGCAACTGAGCAGCAAGCCCCTTGGGAAGGTCGGATGCACGAGAAGAGGCATTGCTGTCACTTCTCTCAGACACGCTGCGGTGGTAGCTGTCGACGTTCTTGTAGCAATGATGGCAGATAACGTCGTATTCACCTACTCGTGGAAAGCAGTTGAAGCTAGCGGGAAGCATAGCCTCGTAGAGCGAGCTATTGCCCCAGTCGAAATCGCCGACTTGGATCCAGGAGGGGAGCTCGTCGAGGGGAATCAGAGGAACGACCATGTAGCCTGGTCGGTAGACGTAGAAATTGGGGAATGGTTGGAATTTGGTGATAGGGTGGGACATGCGTGCTATGACTGTAGTGATAATGCAGATTCTTGGTTATCAAACGAGTGGATGGTGTATCAGCGATAAATACTGGGTATGAGAAGGAGTACAGTAGAGGAGTTTTTTTGGATTGATTATTGTATATGCTTAGTTTGGGTGTGCCTTCCCGGAAGTCGATGTGTTGGGTGTGGCTTCCTGTGGATGGCTTAGGCCACTTTGGATAAAGCGGTAAGGTGGACTGGATATCAAGTATCTGTATTATCACTAGTTTCCATTAATTAGATAATGGGCTGTAGGTCCCGTTTTTACATGTAAATCCAAGATCAGGATTGAGGGCTGCCGTTGCGTTCATGCAGATCACACTCGCTGGTTCCAGAACCTGCGGGTATAGCTGGATGTTGTCCGTCACAAAGTTCTTACAAGATTGAGCAGTATGGCATTCGATAATGAGGGCCTCCGTATGCTTCAAATTTGGCAGCCCAACGTTGTACCAGCAAGGGTCGGAAACGCAAGAACCGTCACCAGGCTGGTACGTATTGATCGAGCCAGCAAAGTCAGACCAGGTAAAATCCTCCATCATCACAGCCGAACTAGCATTGACAGTTCCAGACCGGGAGGCGCCTTGGTCGCTATAACTCTGAGTCACAAAGATCGGGAACGTCACGTTGAAGACTCTAATATTGTTCCAGGTCACATTCTTGACGAGTCCGGTCCCTCCGCTCCATGACTTGAAGCGTGCTGCGTAGAGCCCATCGACAACAGTCACATCGTCAAAGCGGATGTTGCTGATATTGGCGAAGTCTGTGGGATCCTTTCCCAGCGATCCATGCTCATGCCGTGAGTCTGGTAGCCGATGGTGTTTCTTGTGAAAAGTGTGTCGTGCGAGTCCGCGCCTACTGCAATCGCATCGTCGCCGTTGTACATGATACTGTCGGTGATCTGGATATTGGTACCCTCAACATCGAAACCGTCAGTGTTGAATGGGAAGCTACCTGTCGAGGTAGCGTCGATAATAGCGTGGCTGACTGTAATGTCTTGTCCATGCAGTTTGACATTCCAGGCGATGGGCTTCCTAGACCTGAAGTATTTCATAGTGGCTTGGCTAGACTTGAAGCTCATGAGATGCGGACGGTTATCGATGCCTGAACTACCTGCAGGGTTCGCATCCCACCACGGTTGTCCGTACGAGTCAATCCAACCATTGTTCACGTCTTCAGGACCAATCCAGTCCACTTTTGGTCCTTCTAGGGTAAACCATGTAGAAGTACCGTCACTGACTATATTCTGCACCGCAGTGATATTCTGTGGCAGATGCAGGTTGCCGTGCATCCGGATTTCCACATTGCTGAGGTTGGTGGCGGTGATCGGCTGAAAGATGTTATAGTTGACACCCTCCTCGAAAATAATAACCCGAGTCAGTCGCGCATTGTGCAAAGGCCTGGGAGACAGCAACCCGAGTCATCAGCCATTCCATTCGATGCCTGGTATTTGGACGGAACCACGCATTGTTGGCTCCGAGATGCTCTGCTGGAGTGTGGAACCCCGTGGACTAGTGAGGAGGAAAGAAGAAATAGGAATGATGCCTTGAAGACAGACATGACGATGCGTGAATAGCCAGTAGCTCACTGAATAACCAGTAACACTTGCATACGTACCCTTACTTATATTACAACATAATGTTGCGCTCCCGAGGTTCAGGGTCTCCAATTGCCATGCCATTAGACATGACAAGCGTTCGGAAATTTGCAAATCTCTCAGGTCCATTAACCGGGAAATTTCCTCAAGAGGCCGCGAGTAGAGTATGCGCGAGACCTGATCGGCGTATAGATCAACCAAGACAGCACCGCGTTAGGCTGGCATTGGTGGAGAAATTGTGACAGTTAGCCAAGTGTGGAGAGCTGCCCAGACAACAGCCAAGGTAGCTTCCTGCTTCCCCGGATGTTCATGTAATGAATGAAGAGTACGTGAAGGCCATATTATGAAATAGACCCAATACCTAAAACATGAAAAAGTAGATTAAATGTCCCTGTCAAACGAGGTGAGAGCTGGTATGCTGCAGGGATGTATGTGATGGCGCCGTGCAAGTGTGTTTATCCGGGGTCACATGGGGGTGGAGCCGGGCATCGAAACTTCTCCTGTCAGTCAGTGTCATAGCTCTCTTGCTAGATAGCTATTTCTCTACTATCGCGTATCACTCTATAGTCTTTCTTTACATGTACCTCACATCTACGTACCTCCAATCAGCTCTTTTCTAGAAATGACTGCCCCCACACCCAAGTCGGCGCTCGCGATGATGCCGACGCCCAATATCCCTGCGTCCGAGGCTGTCGGCCACTGCCAGAGTGTCGCAATAATCGATGCTCCACTGCAAGAGGTCTGGGATACTTTAATGGACACCTCTACCTGGCCATCATGGAACAGATTCGTCCCTGCCGTGACTATCCGAGAGCAGCCCGGATCCGATGGGGGCGATCTCTCCCCGGTCCTCCAGGCTGGGACGAAGATGACTTATCACGTGAACATGAAGCCGACCAGCTCGTCCCAGCCACAGCGCGCACAGGCGAACAATGATACTCCATTGGTCGTGACGGAGTGGGATCCGCCCAGCGAGAGCAAGAAATCCGGTCGCATCGTTTGGGTTCTTGATGCGCAGGCGCAGGGACGCATCATGTCCTCACTGTTGGCGGCGGAACGAGTCCATGAGTTCGTGGAGGTTGATATCCTGGACGCGCAGGGACAGACGAGGCGGGGGACGGAGGTGCGCAACTGGGAAGCGCAGAATGGAGCCCTGGCGTATGTGGTTCGCTGGATGGTGGGGGCACAGTTGGAAGTATGCTTTGAGGCGTGGTTGCAGGATCTCAAGGAGTATGTTGAGAAGAAGACGACGCGGGAATGAGATGAGCTATCTAGGGTCTGCCCCTTTACTTTGTACATAGTAATTATACGAGCTTAAATGGAAGTCTCCTTGCTGGAGCGATTGGGCAGGGGGGATTGCATGCTTGGTAAATTGAATGATATCCCTGAATTCGTATCTAAAGTCTCTATTTTCTAGTATTGTTTTCGACCCTCAAGGTCCCGGCTGAGGTAATCGCAGACCACGGATTCCGAGACAGCCTTACAGCCACAACTAGCGTCGGCCCCGTGCGCGCTTGGCACGGCGATGTGTGCTATTCCAGAGCCATCCACCGGTTCCGTGCAAGGTCATTGCGTCGGGAACCGTTCCTTTAATCCCGTATGGTGAAGTGAGATATCAGATTGCGAGGCTTTGCTCCCGACTCGCAGTAGATAGTGGAGCTGAGAGAGGTGACAGTGTCAGCACTTCGGAAGGGAGGGAATTTTATGAGTCGCGTAAGGACCCGAAGATACCTCCACGCTACTAGGATTGGCCCTAGTGAGTAGTTATATGCGAGGATTATGATGGCCAGTGGGAGGGTCATGCACCTGATGTGACAGTAACTGAAACTATTTGAGAGATACGCTGTTTGGTAGGAGGTCGGATGCCAAAGTGGAGAATCAAAGAGCGTCTCAATGGCAGGCAATTTCCCTGGCTGACCATGACCCACGTGGGGGTGGAGATTGGCTGAGGCCCCGTCCGAGGGTTACGTCCTCGGCTGTCTCTTGAACAGGCCTTTTTTGGGTTCGTCCTCGTCTTCCCGGCCCCCTTTCAAGCAGCCACAGTCGAAGGTTCGAATTTTCGTTCATCCTTCCTTATTCGGAGTATGTGATGGGATCCTCGCCAGACTGAAACGGGGCCGCTCTACCGTTTGATACATCCACGCAGGAAGAAGGGCGCCTGCAGGACTACCGCAGGGAGGATGAGCCATGGTCTGCATGTACCCATGTGCTTTCTTTTTTCCTTGGTCGGGGAATGTTACGATAAGATCGACTAGTCTCAGGCTGGCTGAGAGACCAACAACCACAATGTGTATTCCCTGCAGTGTCCAGCAGACGCCACGACGCGCGTGAAGTGGTTGAATGTGAAGACCTTGAGATGGTCATTCCTGCAGCATAGTGTGTCACACTTTTCAAGGTCTTCGTCATCCTTTCTTAGGGGGTGGGGACACCACAAAACAAAGATGGAATTATGGTTATTCGTTCACCCTTTGCGACGGCCTTCCCAGGGCGAGAATGCGAGGGTGACAGCCGTTTGTGCCCGAATGACTGGATGAGAAGGAGACTAAGTCGACTAACAAGTAGAAAATGCACGAAATTCGAGGGTTGAGGGGCCAGCTGGACCCACCGGCTTGCCATATTGAGGCAGCCGGACAACTAACGACGGGAGACTAACGCCCAATCGGGGATAGTGTCCGTGCAGTGTGGGAGAAACGCGAAAGTCGCAATTCCATTCAGTCTCGCTTTTTTGTCTTTCTTTTCTTGCAGTCGCATTCAGGGCTCTCACTTCTCCTGGTTGCTGCTGCGGCTTTCCTGCTCATCAAACCTTACCCCAGTTTGCGTTCCCCGATCTCATCTCCCAATTTTTCAACATCTTGCTTCGAAATCGAAATGGAAAATGCACACCCGAAAAGAGCCGATGCTGCTCCGAGCATGTTAGTGGACTACGAGGATGGACTCCCGCCAGGCCAAGACTCGCCCCGGTGGGTGGAACTGAACTATCTATTTGGCATGTCACGGTTACTTGCGACGGGTTTGCTGTAATCACCCATGGTTCCTCCGTCACAATTAAGCTATCGCTCTTTCTGTCGATCTATCCAATTGCTCCCTCTCTTTTTTCAAATAATTAATTTGCATTTTCCAAATCCACCGGGTCGAGACTCGTCGCCTCCTCAAATTTTTCTCTCCCTGCTTTGCGTTGATTTCTTACTTTCACTATTGTCTACTTTTCCACTCATCTATTCTAGATCATGTATATGTTGCAATCCTCGTCAGTCCGCTATCTTCTGTCCTATTCATCTTCCTGCACCTTGGCCCATCAATAGTCAGTCTTAAGCGCCAGACGGACTCGAATCCCGGTGCCGACGTCATCCAACCGGCTTGCCACCAATTGCCTCGTCATTGGTTATAGTCCTGGCTTCTATGCCCGCTATTGCTTCTTTTAAATCTTATTCAAAGTCCTCGGAAATCAAGCGACACCGGCAGACATTCTAGTGATTCATCTCGTATTCGCGCCAGTCAGCATAGATACGCGGGTTTTTTCTTATCGCTTTTCCTGACCGGAGATCCCTGGTCCTATCGGCGCTGAAACCAAACCAAATAGTCGCACCGATTTCAACTGTCGCCTTCCCCGCTATCCCCGCCTCTTGCGATCTTCACAGAGGCATCTGCTTCTTCAGAGTTGTCCATCATGACTCCTACGCATATGCCGTTCCCGCTCTCTGTTCGCACTCAACATGATACGGATACTCGCGCGCCGCCTCTTCTAGTAGTGCCCGGACTGACTCCTCCGGTGACTCCTACTGTAGATGACGAGAGCCTTTCAGGCAGCGTTGCCACCCTCCATTCTGGGGCTTCCAGTCCATTCTTGTCGCCTATCGAGGGAAAACTCAAGGATGTCGATGCGGAAGATCGCACCGTGTCCACCTCTGACTCATTCACAGATGAGTTGGAATACCATACGGACCCTAGAGGCCAGCCTGTTGAATTTGGCCGCGGTCTTTGGAGTGTTGTCTACAAAGCTACTCCATGCGAGTCCTCCAAGCCCTACCTGCTTACGCCCCCCAGCTCTCCAGCTGTCAAAGCCCGCACGGTAGCGGTCAAGTCCCCCGCAAGGCGCGATGCGCACTCCATATTGGATGCCGAAAGCGCTCGCCTTGACCCGGGGTTAGTCGTGTCGCTGGGGTCACAGAAACCATGTTGTACCCTTCAAGGGGATATATCGCGGACTCTCACTCCATCGTCATGTCAGCAGTGCCGTTGGCGCTTTCAACGTATATCGAAGAACAAGCCGCTGTGGCTTTGCAGAACAAGACCACCAGAACTATGTTCGAGCCCATTCAGGGCATGACCCAGTGGCATGACCTCGCAAAGAAACTGATCACCGGACTGTGTTGGCTCCATGACGGGCCACAGATGGTGCACGGTGATGTCAAGCCTCACAACATCTTGCTCCGTGCACGCTCAAGTGGCGACGATTTGGAATCCGACCACTTCCCTTACGAACCGTTATTCGCCGATTTCTCCTCCGCTCACCCTATCAGCAATCCTTCCTCCCCCGAAAGTAGTCTGGGCACGGCTCTGACGGCTCTAACACCACCATTTACAGCCCCGGAGCTTCTACGCGTCTCATCATTAAAGTCCCCGGATGTGGCACCAACCCCAGAGTCTGACGTCTTCTCTCTAGCCGTTACTCTGCTCGCTGCTGCTACGGGCGATTTGCTCCTCTACCCGGGTGCCAACCACTTCCAACGACTGGCCATGGCCCGTGAAGGCCACCGCGTGATTGAGTTTGCTCGCTCCGGGCCGAATGGATCTCGCATACCGCGCAACGGGATCGTCGAACAAATCATCAAACCGGCCATTGTCAAAGAACCGAGCCAGCGCATCAAACCCGCTGACTGGGTTAACCTGATCGAGTCTATTTCGATCTAACTTTGGCCATGGTTGCCTTTCTTTCGTTATCGCATCCCGCGTTCTTATCTCGGATCCCCTTTTAATCTCTCGTTATCTTCGGCCATTTCTTCACTTAGCCTCTTTTCTAATCTTTCTTTCACATTTGTCAGACTTCTTTGTCTGAAGTCTATCTTCTTTATCTTCTCGATATTTCTTCTTTTTCCTCTTTTTTTCTTTTCTTTTACTATTATGTTCACTTCAACCAGAAACATTCAAGATACCCGTTAGAATAGATGTGCAGACGAAACAAATACATTTTTCATTACTCATCCTTTTCTGCAACCTCAAGGACAATAACAACAGTGAAACGAACTTCATTTCAGCCATAGCATCATATTTTAACTACATCTAGTATGCATACCAAACCCGTGCTCCAAGTCCAACTATGACTCATTCAGGTATAAGCACCTCTTTGTGTCGAATCAAAGGATACCTACTACTACTTCCATCATGAATAGCCCTGTTTCGGTCATACAAAAATCTCACATGTAATTCAATTTCATTACGCTGGACCAAGCAGTAGATCCTTGATTTATGAGACACTGGATAACCGACGTGACGTGTATGTAAGTAGTATGATAGTAAACAATCTTCGCAAACAACCTTCCAGGGGCCAACTTGAACTGGAAACAAATCCATTTCTAAATGAGATGATCATGCTACTGGCTCACATACAGTTTCATCCCTAGCATCTATTCTATCATTTTGAGGAGAGTCTATCATCTATCATATAGTACAGTACATACTAGTTATACATATCTCATAACCAAAATACAAATACATCCATTTCAAGATACTCTCATCAGTGGAGTCTCTTCTTCACCATCTCGCGATGCACCCCNCGTTTTATACGACGTCAACGTCCCCCCAAACAACCGATTCAATTGCACACTCGACACCGAGACCCCGCTGCGCTGATACTCGATGCAAATATCCCAGATCGTCCATGTCGAGAGAATATGCACGCGCACGTCACTCAGGTCGTAGTCCAGGTTCTCCTGGAAACTCGTCACCGGGTCTTCGCCCCCGTGGATGGTCTTCGGGAGACTGTCAAAGTCTGGTTTTGGTGTCTTTGCGGCATATTCGGCGAGACTGGGGATGGCTTTGACGATGTCGTTGGTGGAGCGGCCCGGGAATATGAGCTGGAGGACTTCAGCTACGGAGAGGGCTTCGCGACCACGGCCGAGGGAGAGGGAGAGGGTTTCGAAGAGGCGGAAGGCGTCGCCGCGTTGGGAGGGGTCGAGGGCGTTGATTTTTCCAACGACGGGGGAGTTGGGGTTCGGTTCGAAATAGACTATGCTGCGGTCGATGCCTTGGGGGTAGAGTTCTTCCGGGTGGATGAGGAGGGGTTCGAAGGGACGGCGGTCCCAGGCTAGGAGAGCGTCGTCGAAGTTGTTGTTGCTGCGGAGGGAGGCGCGGTGGCTGTCGTGGATGTGGGGGAATTGTTTGAGGTGGTCGTGGTAGTTTTCTTGGCCTTCGTCGGTGATGGAGCTCCGCAGGGCGGATATTCTGTCGAGAATGGGCTTGAAGTCGGCGGAGGTCGTGTTCGGATCGGCGGCTGCTCGTGATAGAGCGTCGTATTGGGCGTCGATCTCGCGCGACTGGTCGACCATTTGCTGGAGGAAGTATGCTTGTCGGTTGTCTCGGTTGAGACGGGTCTGCGCGCGACTGCGCTTCTTCTTCGCTTCAGCGTAGCCTGGGGAGGACTTGTCCATGTTGTCCAGGGCTTGGATGTCTTCGCAGAATCTGTCGTGGAGGGCTGTTCTTATGCGCGGTGTGTAAGGCACTGGTTTCCGGCCGGGGTCGGGGCTCTCCGGGGCTGGGAGGAGCGGTTGAAATTCCCTTCCGGGAGGTGTGATGATGTTCTTTTCGGCAGCCCTTTCAGCGACACGCGCGGCATTGTCTATGGCGACGTTGAACCCTTTGTGGTTGACCCAGAATTTCTCGTCTTGAGGAGCGGCGACTTCAAAGGTGTGTAGCGCGACATTCTCCGTCCAAAGCGAAACCCGTCGGCGATCGACCACGTAGCGGGGAATGATAGCCTGTGATTCTGTCGATGGTAGAGACGCCAGCAATCGGATAGCTCCGTAGGAGTGTAGTCCCGTCTGCTGCATGCAGGTCTCCATGAACATCTGCCACCATCTGCCTGCGGTGAAATGGTCTTTGTCGGAGGTCGTGGCGGGGAGGTTCGCGAGTACTAGAAGGGTGTCGTTCTTTGGCAGAACTCCGGTATGATCGCCATTGTCCGGTCCTTGTTCGGGGAAATGCTCCGTGAGCACAGGTTTCCAGTCGCCGATGGAGAAGACGTCCATGGACAGTAGCTTGTAGGACGGATGGCTTTGGGCCAGCGGGTCTAGTAGCGGGCGGAAGTTCTGCAGCTCGGGTTCAACGAGGACATGGCGTCGCGGTTGGAGAAGGTTGTTGATCTTGGATGACCAGAGGCCAGCTCCAGGCCAGAGGTCGAGGATGTCCAACGGCCGATTGCGGAGGAGGTACGGTGACAGGCGCTGCAGAGCATGATCTGCGGAAACAATGGCGTGTTAGAAAAATAGATGAAACAACATCACAGCCTCACTCACTACATAGCTCCTCACTGACAATCTCCGGTTTCCTGTTGGTTCTCCGCTTGAGGTGGCCGGGGAAGCACTTGGCGATCGACTTCGCGAGCGGAAACCGGGAGAGAGCTGAGGCTCGTGGAGCCATTGTACAGCACCAGGTCTGCGGACGAGACCAAAAGATGCAAAGCGATCAGCCTTTCTGGTATTCAAGGAAGAGGACCCTGGCGGACGGCGTCATGGTTGAGCGGGCCGAATGAGAAGAATGGAAGTGAAGGTGGAGCAGAGGCCGAGAGATGGAGAGGAACAAATGCCAGCGCGACTTGCCGGCGATCATCTCTGCAGCTCCGCCGAACTTAAAAGATCCCAACTCCTGCACTTCTCTCCTGTACCTGACTAACTATCGCCCACCCCGCTCGGTTGGTGGAATGCAAACACGATGCACCCTGACTTAAAGCTATAAATTGCCTGCTCCACATTACGTGCCTGAACTCAACCCGATCATTCGGTGCCTTGATTCTGCTGCCTATCATCTACATGCGGCACGCCCCCACCACGACTGCCGCTGGTCTCGCGCCAGACGTCAATGAACTGCGACTGCTGCGACAGGCCTGCTGATTTCTCTTCGATTTAATTCTCATCATCGACTGCCATCGTCTCATGCGCAGCCATGGCCGCCCATCTACCTCCGGCTACCGGTGCGGGGTCCCCGCAGAGTGTGGAATCAATCACTCGCATGGCTCAGGATTATGAGTACAACCCGTCTATACCTCTACGCTACTGGCTGCGAACAGCGTCTACTCTCATGAGAGAGGTTGGTAGACTTGCTGCTTGGCTATTGTGGAGTGAGCTAACTGATGTGGTGGCTTAGGCTCGGATTTACGAACGCGAAAAGCACGAAGAACAAGCCTACCTTTTATTGTTTCGCCATGCTCAGTTGGTACTTGTCAATTTGGCGGAGCATCCAGAGGCCAGAGATGAAAAGAATCGGAAAGCTTTGGTGGAAGCCGAAAAGGAGGTCAAACGAAACCTGAAGGTCCTCGAAGTTCTGAAACCCCGGCATCAACAAACGCTACGAGCGCTATACTCAGTTGATGCGTGAACGGCAAGCTCGCGCACCAGCAGCGGCGAATAACACTCCCACTTCAACCCAGAGACCCCCTCAAGATCCCGCCCTCGCAGGGGTCGTGGAACCTCTGGAAGCAGGAGAGAACAAAGACCTGGCGGTGCAGCTGGCTCGGACGGAGCTTAGCCGACGAGCAACTGTCCGAAAGGCTATCCGACAAGCAGGCATAACACCTGAAGAGGAGCAGACTCGTCGGGCTGCTGGCGTGTGGGGAGACTGGGAGCATGCCCTGCGCAAAGATGGAACCGAGGACGATGACTTGAGCCGGCGCATACAGAACGTGAGAATCCAGATGGACGATCCGCGGGCGGATCACCGTCCACAGGTTGCCACTAAGCCTATGGTCCGGCCATCTGCCGCAACCTCTTCAACCGGCACATACAAGTATCCGAGCGTCCCTCGTCAGAAGCCGCTGGAAGTTCCGTCGGCCGCAAAGGTGGAGCCTGAGAAGAGGATTGTTCTTCCGCCCAAAGCGCCCGCACTGCCTCCTAAGGAAACTTCGTATGTACATGAACTGGCTGGCCTTGAAGGACCTTCACCTCCACCTCGTCCAGACAAGGTCTCGCCCGCAGCGATCCCGGCTGAGCCTCCTGTGCTTCCTGGAAAGGTTCCAGCAACCGATGGGTCAGCTGCCAGCCCGAATTTGGACCCGTCCAGCTATACCTTCAAGCCCTCTGCTTATCTAGAGAACGGAACGCCTCTGCGGACGTTGTTCCTGCCACCTGATCTACGCAAGCACTTCATCTCACTGGTATCCCCGAATACGCAGCGCAATCTAGAGACGTGCGGCATTTTGTGCGGCACGCTAGTCTCCAACGCCTTGTTCGTTTCGAGGCTGCTCATCCCTGAACAGACGGCCACGTCGGACACGTGCGAGACGGTGAACGAGTCTGCGATCTTCGACTACTGCGATTCAGAGGACTTGATGGTGCTCGGCTGGATCCACACGCACCCGACACAGACGTGCTTTATGAGCTCGCGCGACCTCCACACACATTGCGGATACCAGGTGATGCTGCCGGAGAGCATTGCGATTGTGTGCGCGCCCAGCAAGACGCCCGACTGGGGAGTGTTCCGGCTGACGGATCCTCCGGGGCTGAAGACGGTGCTCAACTGCACGCAGTCGGGACTCTTCCATCCCCATGGAGAGGCAAACATTTACACAGATGCGCTGCGCCCGGGACATGTATTTGAGGCAAAAGGATTGGAGTTCGAGACGGTGGATCTGCGCCCCAAGGGGTCTCAATTCTGACATTAGATCTTTTGTTGCCAATTTACTTTGAGCGTCAATAGCATATGATTACATGATAAGGAGCTAATGAGGAATGATGCACTAGTCTATACCTTACTACTTAGTCTGTCAGCTAGACACCCAAGAAAATAGCTAACTAACTACCATGTGACTATTCCTGCAAGCCTAAACTCTTACAATCCACTCATACACCCGCTTCCTTCATCTCAAACATATTACTACCTAGCATCAGCATGTCAACTATTCCTCTCTACACCGGCACTCACATCTCCATCGGCCCCCACAAGCTGTACCTGCATCTGCACGGCCCACCCCGCACCACCCAGCCTCTCACCATCTTCCTCGCCGGCGCCGGCGACGTTTCTTCCAGCTACACCACTGTAATCCGGTTACTGAGCCCATTCGCCCCGTGTCTTGTCTACGACCGCACCGGTCTCGGGCGCAGCGATGTCCCAGATTTAGATACCAAGTACAAGCCCAGCGCGACTCTCGCTGCCAGCGAACTACACACTCTACTTACAAACGCAGATCTCCCACCACCGTACATCTTAGTGGGACACTCGTACGGCGCCATCATCGCAAGGGAGTATCTCCATCTTTATCCTGCAGATATAGGTGGTATGGTACTCTTCGAAGGATCAACGGAGCACCAATACAAACTGTTCGAAGATAATCCCAACCTGGATAGTGATCTTGCTGCTCTATTAGGGGAGATGAACTTCGCTACAGTGACGGGATTACGCGAGAACGCTAAGTTGAGTCGTGAGGAGTGGAGAGAGAGGGCGAGGGATATTGCGCGCGGAATGGGGATGTGGGAGGCTGAGAGAGGGAACTTGGTGGGGGTTTGTAGGGAGTTGGAAGGGAAGAAGCAGTTGCAGGGAGAAGGATTGGGGGAGAGACCATTGTCTGTGGTGATGGGACGGGGATGGGAGGATTATCAGAGGGTCTATGAGATGGGAGTGAAGATGGGGAATGGAAGTGAAGAGCAGAGAGAGGCGGTCAGAAGGTTTCTGGGGAGGTGTGAGGAGGTGGTGGGGGAGTGGCAGAGGGAGCAGTTGAGGTTATCGAGGAGAGCGAAGTTGGTAAAGGTGGATTGTGGACATCAGGTGCATTTGGTGAGGCCGGAGGTGGTGGTGGAGGAGGTGAAATGGGTGTTGGAGATGATTAAAGATAGAAGTAGTAGTGTGTTGTAGGTATACTATAGTAGTGTTGTAGATGTTGGGGTAGTGGTGAGGTATGCTACAGCTTTCACAGATGCTAGTTGAGATAGTCATGGCATAGTACTGAGTCAGTTGTGAGTCTTTGAGACTCTGTATAAGTGTCAAGATGACCCAACTTGATGCTATTCCCACTGCAGGCCTCCCCCCCACCATTCCCAATCAGGAAACCCCGGGCTTGGCGCCATCGCAATTCCAGCGAAAGCGACTTGCTTTTGCTGCTTTCTTCTTCTCTTCTTCTCTTCTGCAACTTTCCACTGCCTCTCTGCTGCGGCTTCTTCTCTCTTCCTACCATCTTCTCAAACTCATCTTCTTCCGGTTCTCATTCGCTGCATCCTCCCCTGCCGCGAGAACCCTGCAAATCCTCCTCTCAGTTAATACGAGAGTTTACAATATCTCAACCTCATCCATCTCTCCTCTCCTCCATTCCCGGAACGGTGAATCCCACCGGCTCGTGCGACAGAGTGAGTCCCTCCACCATTCTCAACGCATCCCTCCGGTTTTCCCTCCTGGCGCATACACTTCACTTGTTTGTGGCTTGGTTCTTTTGCATTCCCTGCATCGCCGGTCAAAGTATATACTTGTCCAGCGAATCTCGCACGTGCACTGTCCCACACGTACAACTGTCCCGACTCCACCCCTGCTTGAGTCTGTTCCTGCGTATTGTCGCACATACTGTTACTCGCTATCGCAGCACATGTCGCTTGTACCTACTATCGTATGAGCATTCTGCTAACCATCACAGGCGCTATAAGCTCTATATACATCGATCTATCTCTATCTACCTATTTACTCATATCCACCACCATGTCTATGGACGCCAAAGAAATCGAGCTCCGGGCCAAGGCCATGACCAAGGCCGCCTCTTCCAACGAACCTCCCTCTACCATCATACCACTACTCAAGCAACTGCAACAAGGGGTGAAAGCCACCGAAGACCTGCTGCGATCGACCCGTGTCGGTATCGCCGTCAACAAACTTAAACAACACAAATCTCCCGAAGTCGCCCGTCTCGCGAGCGAAATCGTCTCCAAGTGGCGCCACGAAGTGAACAAGCAAAAGGCCGGGGCTTCCCCCGGCGCTAGCCAACGGTCGAGCAGCTCTCCCCACCCGAAAACCAACGGCACCCCCTCCGGCGGTGCGACTCCCTCCGATAAGGCCTCGAAGCTCTCGGTGCCTCCCGACAAGCGTACCTGGAAGGCCGATGGCGTGGACACCAACCAGACCGGCAACAGAATTCGCGACAGCTGCATCGGCTTGATGTACGATGGGCTGTGTCTCAACTCGGTTGAACCCCCCCGCACAGTCCTGTCCAAGGCGTCGGCCGTCGAAGCGGCAGCCTTTAGCGACCTCGGACCGGAAACGAAGGAACAATACCGCACGAAGATCCGCAGTCTCTACCAGAACCTCAAGAACAAATCGAACCCGACACTGCGAGTGCGGGTCCTCAACGGCGACGTGACGCCAGAACAGTTCGTCCGGATGTCGCACGACGAACTCCGGTCGGCGGAACAGCAGGAGCGCGACCGCAAGATTCAAAAGGAGAACATGGACAAGGCGATGGTGGCACAGGCGGAGCGGAGTATCAGTACGAGCTTGCAATGTGGCAAGTGTGGACAGCGCAAGGTGACATATACGGAAGCGCAGACGCGCAGTGCGGACGAACCGATGACATTGTTTTGTACGTGTATGAACTGCGGCAAGTCATGGAAGCAGTGACCAAACCGCCAAAATCGATTTATTATACTCATTCATGTTTTTACTCATCCATTCAATTTGCATTTTCCCATGGTGTTGGGTGATAGGCGAGGAGTTGGTTGTCAGGTTCAATTCAGTTATGTCATGTGTCATAGATCATACGTCATTCATCTATACCTTCTTACTTATACCAATACCTCCTGCAACTAAGTAAACACCACTCAACTATCACCGCCAAAATGCCGCCAGACAAGAGAACCCTCAAACAAACAACACACACCTTCCTCACCACCCTCACCCAATCCCCCCCTCCCCCGTTATCCACGATCCTCGCCCAATTCACCTCCTCCCCCTCCACACCCCCTCTAATCCACGAAGCCGGCCTCCCCCAACTCGCCCCCTTCCTAGGCCGCGACTTCACCGGCCAAGACGGAGTGAAACGCTACTTCGAGACGATGGGCTCTGCGCTACGCTACGAGGGGATGAGATTCGAGGATGAGCAGGATTGGGTGATCGACGAGGAGAAAGGATGTGTTTGTGTACGAGGGTGGGCGAGATTCATTGCCAAACGCACAGAGATGGGCTGGGACGAGGGATTTGTGTATAGATTGGCGATTGCACAAGATGGAGGAGAAGAAGAAGACTCTGATGGAGAGTGGAAAGTACAGGAGTATAGGGTTTGGGCTGATACGGGAGCGGCGTATTTAGCCATTTCCGGGAAACTGGATGATCTTGTTCAGAAGGGGTGATTGATTGACTTGTGTGTTTTATGTACATACTACTGATCAAGGGAAGAAGACTGAGATTATCAAGAGGAGACCACATCCCAATCTATCCACGCCACATTGCCCTCCCTTCCATCCTCGAACAAAAACAGCCTGCTCGGATCCCGATACCTCTCCTCCTCGCTGCTACTCAATAACACTGACACTTCGCTCTCTCTCCTCCCTGTGAGGTTGAATCCTGGCCCGTACGCCTTATACTCCGCCATCAGCGTCTCGTTTTTACTCCACCGATCCTCCCAGTTGATGTATCCCGATGGCTCGATGCTCCCGTCTTCGTATGTGTTCGCGAAGATGGATCGGTGCAGTGAGTTCCACGGTCTGCCTAGGGCGCAGGATCCCTTGATTTGTTCTGCGATGGAGGTGTTCGCTGCGTTTACGGTCGAGTCGTGGATGTATACGCCGTAGTTGTTCCGGACTGTTGTGTTGGTGCCCTTCCAGGCGGTGATGCCGCCGCCGCATGAGCGGAGGACGATCTGGGATGATTGGATGAAGAGCGTGCCGAAGCCGTATAGGAAGTCGGTTTGGCCCGCGAGAATGGATTTGTACATGTATGCGGAGCCGAGTTTGCCGATGTAGATCTGGGTTTACTTGTTAGTATTGTGGTTGGGGGGGATAGGGTTGAGGGGGAGGGAGGGGGAAGTACAGTATCCTGGTAAGAGTAGAACCCGCAGTAGTAAAACCCTCCATTGGAGCGACTAAAACTAATGGCATGCGCCGGACCAGCAGAGTACGGCGCATAGGTATTGCGGAAGTCGATATTGTACACGCGGAAATCAGTGTTCCCGAACGGGGTGTCCGCTGGCACTGGATATCCTGTTGTGCCGGAGCCGGTGAGACTCGCGTCCAGGGTCGGAGCTACGACCATGACGCTGAACCAGACGTTGTCGATGTCGCCGGTGCTGTCGCTGTTGGCGCCGGCGAAGGTGAGGTTGACGGTGTTGCGGGCAGGGTCGGTTAGGGCTGCGCGGTCTGGCTGCTGGCCCAGGAGGGTGATGGGGCCGGAGCGGGTGATGTTGACTTGTTCATTGTAGGAGCCGGAGAGGAGGAGGATGGTTTGGGAGGAGTTGTCGTTGGGGAGGGCATTGATGGCTGCTTGGAGGGTGGTGAAGTTGGAGAGTTGGGGGTGGGTGTTGGAGACGATGAGGGTGCCTGGGGGGCATTGGAGGGTTGTTTGGCATTTCTCGCGAGCTGCCGTTGAGAGATGGTTTGAAGATGGGGAGGTTATGGCTGCTGAGGAGGCTAGAATGGCCTGGAGGGCCAGCAGAAGGCCGTGGAGGAGCATTGTGTGGGATGGAGGTGGAATTGGCTGGTTGGTGGTTGACCCTGTTCATTTTTGTGGCCATTTTATATGATGATCAACGCAATCCGGGGATGCGGGGATGGTCAAGCTTCTGCATAATGTCAGTTACCCCAGACTGACATTCTATCATGGCATCATACGGTGATGCATGGCTTGCTTCTTCCCCAGACGGAGGCCGGAGAAATGTGGAGGCGCCGGAGAATTGCGTTCCACCTGTCGGGTTGGAGGATCGGATTCACTTGCACTGCAGTTGGTGGAGAGAACTTGCTCTGGGGTTAGATGCATTATTGGGATGATGTTGACTTCATTTTGGTCGGGGGTATCTTCCAGAGTCAGTTAGTGAGTTGTTTGACGTGGTGGTGCTCCGCGGACAGCCACGGGGGCCGATATCTCGATGCGCTATCACGAAGGCGCTGCATTCGTCCTAGTCGTGTTTAATCCCTCATTCATGCATCAGACTTATCTAATGGAGCATGGACAATCCTGCATGAGCCATATCACGGCTAAGCTTTTTGGAGCTGGTCAGACTTGTCTGTCAAGAAGCCGGCAGTGGGCTTGAGCCCAAGCAATGTCGACAATATTCCCTCAAGAAGTGCTTGATTGCAAACGATGCTTTAGCAAAGATAAAGCATCAGGTATGCATGGTAAGCACGTAGGAAAGGCCAATTCCTCACTAGAGCTTGCCATCATACCGCAGCCTCTATGAAAGCCCATGTCTGAGCAAGGTGATTCTTTTGTCTGCCGGTAACTCGAAGCATATTGATGTCTTAAAAGTGCCGACATATAGGCCACGACGAACAGTTGTAAGCCCCTGCTCTCAGATCAAGGAACACCAATTAGCAACAGCTGTCAGATGTTGTCTCCGATAGCCAAGCACAAGTTGATCGAGACATCGAGTCAGTTCATGCCGACAAGATACTTGTCCCATTGCGATTTCTGCGCGTTGCTGGCAGCAAGCGTACAAGTTATCCATGTATACAAGTCCCTTTTTAAGTATGAGTGTATGGGAAGCACTAGATAGTTCCAGGATTCAACTAGCGTAAATTGATGAAGTCTGTAGAGTCAAATATGAGATAGAAGCTTCCAATCTGCAGGAAAGCAGTTACTTACCAGCTATTTGCCACGAAGAACTATCCCATCTGTTCTCAGATACTAGTCAGTCAACCTGGGTAGCAGTTACTCATATGCTCAGTAGGCTTCAGCTTGTCATAACAATCGGTGGATTGACTGAAGTGAGGTAAGCCCTCCTCACACTACGCAAGTGACATTCATTGCTCCTCAGAGCTCTGGCCTAAGGCACCAAGCAAAAACCTCGTTGACTCAAGACCCCAGCGAACATCACCAACTGGACAAACCCAACCCCAAACCAGCAAGTAAAGCAGCAATGCACGCCCACCTTGCACAAGCATAATCTATCCAAAACACCCCCCTCCACTGCACAGCTCCCAACTACGTACCTACCACCACCACACTAAGGCGCGAGTAACCAGCACAAACACCATCCGTGCACCACTTTAACAAACACTATCAATGCATCCATCGGCATCGGCAAATTACACCCTCCTCATCAATACGAGGCCAATTAAACTATCATCTACAACTAACCTCGGCCTCTCTCGTAAACGTATCCAAGACGCCCGACCGATTAGTCGACGACTGACTCGGCAGGTACAGGCCGATTGATAGGCGCAATTACGAGAGTTTTGTCTCGCTCTTGTCCGGACCAGAATCAATAGCTCGGATCCACTCGAGCTTCTCTCACACACGTATGTTCGGTGTCAAGGACCGAAGGTGAGGTGCGACGCAACTGGCTGTCTGGCTATCGGCCGGAGTCCGAACGGGCGCAAGTGAAACGGGAACCGAGGAGATGGTGAGTGAAGTGGTGCGCCCCTGACTCCAATTTACCGGGTCCCACTGCACCCAGAACTTGGTCCGATGGGTGGACCGTGGTGAAGTGGTCAGGTCAGGGCTGAGGTGGTCTGGTTCGGCTAAGTGGTCGGCAGTGGGCGCACTTTGATTATTGATTTGGTGGATTGCAAGGAGAGTTTAGTTTGGTTGAAGGTGAAGAGGTTAGAAAATTGGGTAGTAGTGAAGTTACAATGGAAGATGTATTAATTGAACCCTTGATTGACTAAATTTACCACTATTAATGACATACATACATGTAAAAAGAAAAGAAATTGACTCTATCAGTAGAGACAAGGTAATAAGGGAAAAAAAAAGTCTATAATACGGGTAAAAAGGGTAGCCGGGATCCCAGCTCATGCATGTATGCGCAGCAAGTGATATCCAGGTCGGATGGTATTAAGGAGCGCAATCAAGCGTTTACTCATCCTCTTCGACCTCAGCGCGAGCACCCAGCATGTAGCGGCTCTTGCCGTGGGCGTCGACCTCGTGCTCGATGGCCAGCTTGGACAGGTGGCCAAGCAGGTTCTCGATCTGGGTGTCAGCGCGAGAGCGGGTCTTGCGACCAAGGTTGTCAAGGAAGGGGATGATGGTAAGGAGATAGTACACCACAGCGATGATGATGGTGACACCAATGGAGTAACCCCAGACAACAACGACGGTGACAATGTCGACATCACCGTTGACGGAGAAGTCGGCACGGTCAACGGGGTGGGTCTGGAGGTAGTCGCCGGAGAGCCAGCCGAAGACACAGAACAGGGTGGCGAGCACATCGACAATGAAGATGGCGCCAACCAGCTGCCAAGAGGGCCAGGTCTTACCACCACGGGTGACGAAGATGAGCCAGTTCTCGGTAAGGGCAACCTCGAGGAAGAGGATTTCCTGGGGAGAACCGAAGTTCTGGATAATACCACCGTTGGTGAGGAAGAGGGAGGCACGGATGATCCAGGTGGCGCCAGCCAGGAGGATACCAAGGATGACGGAAATCACCCAGATCTTGGGCAGCTGCCACTCGACGGGGCGCTGTTCGTAGTGGGCGTTGTCGTAGGCAATGGCGATGGTGGCCAAATCAGCGAACAGGGCAATGAAGACAATCAGATCGGCACGGATGGTCTCGTCAATGATGATCATGGAGGTGACAAGGTAGACCTCAAGGTGGAGACACAGAGCAATACGGTACTGGATGTAGGCCTTCATACGCTGGAAGATCTGACGGGCGAGCTTGATGGCATCAACAATGGTGGACAGACCGGGGGCAAGGAAGACAATATCGGCAGCAGCCTGGGCAGCCTCAGTGGAACCCTCGACAGCGATACCGCAGTCAGCCTTCTTGAGAGAGGGAGCGTCGTTGACACCGTCACCAGTCATGGCAGTCAAGTGACCACGCTGCTGGAGCATCTCGACGACCTGGTACTTGTGCTCGGGGAAGACCTCAGCGAAACCGTCAGCCTTCTCAACAAGATCGTGCTGAGCAGAGCCAGCAAGACCACCGTGGATCAGACGCTCGGAGTCGTAGACCTTAGTAGAAAGAGCAAGCATCTTGCAGGTTTCCTTGGCAATAGCGAGAGCATCACCAGTCAACATCTTGACGGACAGACCAAGGTGCTGGGCCTCAGCGATGGTGTGGGCGGTATCCTCACGGGGGGGGTCGAACATGGGGTACATGCCCAGCAGTTGCCAGGGCTCACCCTCCTTCTGGACGGCAACACCGAGGGAACGGAAACCACGACGAGCGAACTCAGCAGCCTTCTCACGGAACTTGTCGGCCTCCTCCTCAGAGCACTGGGACATGTTGAGGATAGCCTTGGGGGCACCCTTGGCGCAGACGTAGCGGACACCATCGCAGGTACAGATGGTGGTGATACGCTTGGAGACGGGGTCGAAAGGAGTGTACTTCTCGGTGACCCAGTTGCGGGCGAGAATCTCACGGGCCTTGGGGTAACGACGGAGGGTCATGATAGTGACCTTGTCAATGGGGTCGAGGTTCTTGATGTTGTGGTTGGAGGCAATGGCAGCGACAGCCATCATCCAGTTAACATCGACACCCTCGTTGACGTAGGGCTCACGGATGGAGAGCTGGTTGGCAGTGAGGGTACCAGTCTTGTCAGAGCAGAGAATGTCGACACCGGCAAGGGACTCAATGGCAGTGAGCTTCTGGACAATAGCCTTCTGCTCAGCCAAGTAGGCAGCACCGACAGCGAGGGTGGTGGTGGTGACGACGGGGAGACCGACGGGGACACCAATGATCAGGAGAATCAGGGTGTAGTGGAGCAAGTTGCGGTCCTCGTTNCTCGGGAGTAGCGATCTTGAGGTGACGGTAGAAACCACCGATCCAGGCAGCGAGAATCCAGAACATGACAAGAACAAGCAGGGTGGTACCGATGTTGTCCATGACAGCCTTGAAGTGACCCTGGTCCTGGGCACCCTGAACGAGAGCAGCGGTCTTACCGACGAAAGAGTGTCTGGCGGTGGCAGTAACGATAGCGTAGGCCTTACCACGCTTGCAACCAGTGGTGTAGTAGCAAGTGTCGGCCATGTACTTGTCGACAGCGAGAGATTCACCAGTGATGGCGGACTGGTCAACGGCGACGAGAGAGACACCGGCACGGGCCTCAATGCCACCATCCTCGTCGTCCTCATCCTCCTTCTCCTTAAGGGTGTCGTCACCAACGGTGGCGAGGTACTCCTTGTAGGTCTCGAAGTTCTCGGGCTTGTCGTAGTCACAGATCAGGCGAATATCGGCGGGGACAACGGTACCTTCCTCGATAACGATCTATAGGAAAGCATGTTAGACAGTGCCGACAGAGTGGAAACGGCGGAGAATAAACGTACAATATCACCAGTAACAAGTTCACGGGCAAGGATTTCCTGTTCCTGACCATCACGAATGACGATGGCCTTCATAGCAATATCACCCTTGAGGGAAGCGACAACGTCGGCAGCCTGCTTCTCCTGGTACCAACCGACGATAGCGTTAAGCATAAGAATACCAATAATGACACCGAAATCGATCCAGTCACGAAGACCAGCAGCAAGACAGACAGCCAATTCCATAACTATAGCACTGTTAGAGACATCCCTGCAATGCAATGTCCGAGTCGATTGCCTTACCATAAAGAATAGGACCACGGAAGTAACCAATGAACTGAACGAAGAAGTTGGTCTTCTCGGTGGTCAGCTCGTTCCACCCGGTACGCTTGCGACGAGGCTCGATGTCGCTGGAGCGCAGACCGGAGCGCATGTCGGTCTCGAGCCAGTCATCGGGGCAGACGAAGCCATCCTCCACACCATCACCCTTCTTACCGAAGAGGGAGAAACCCTTCTTCTTCTTGCCGGCACTCACGCCACCGGCACTAGCAGTCGAACCGCGGCGCTTGTCGGGGGCGGTCGAGATGTAACGGTTCAACGCGGCGTACTCGTCGAGACCAGCACCATCATCAAGTTGAGGAGCGCGAGAATGGTCACCATTCTCCACGTCGGGAGCATAGGAAATCCTCCGCTCCGCCATTGTTGCTTCGGCTCACACAGCCTTCGAACCCAACGATATGAGCAGACGCAAACAAAAAATGGCAGGAATGGCAAGAGTCGGATAGTCCTATGAAGAAGAGAAGAAGAAGAGAGGGGAGCGAAGGGAGGGAATGTACTCTTTAATATTTGGGGGTGGGCAGCCTTCAATTGCACGGGACCAGACAAACACGTCTGTCTTCTCTAAGCTCCAACGGGCGACCTTCCCTGTGCGTAAGCCCACTTTTTTTTTTTTTTCGCCTTCCTCCAGTTTATTATTTTTTTTGATTTTCCGATTTTCCATTTTTCTTTTTTGCCATTTTCTTTTTTTTTACATTAATATTCTCCAACTTGGTCTAGTCTTGGCCGGGAGCAGCAGTAGCCACTGATCGAAAGTTCGCTGTCCCTGGTAAGGTAAGGTTGTGACTGGGACCCGCTTTTTGCCTCCCACGCACACACATTTTTCTGCTTAACCCGACGCATCGCTAGTGCCGAGTGAATTTCGAAGTTGATTATTTATTTTTTGTTTTTTTATTTTCCCGCTTCATTACCTTCTCTGGGTTGCCCAGCCCAGTTTGCCAAGTGGATCCCACCTCCCGGATCGAGCCTAGTCTGGGCCGTGGAAAAACTCTGACTATACCCAGACGGTCACCAATGATACGGCACCTTACGCCGTTCGCCTTTCCATTTGTCTCGATCTCATACTGAATGGCTTCTTCTTGTTGCTCTATGACCGGCAGCGCTGTGCCGAGTTCGCCCCCCCTCTCCCCTCCCTCCTCCACTCTCGCTCGTTCCCCTACCGTAAATCCTGGGGAGACCAAGAAAAGATGGGACTCCCCGTACGCACCCGATACACTCGTCGGGAGGAGCTTGACTCTATTTCCTCGGAGTTCACTATGGGCATGAGGTATGCTACTGTATGCTACCGGTAAGATACAGGTACGAGAGCCGACAGAGGACGGCTCTGTCGGCCTTTCGGCCAGCCCAGGGCGCTCACTTTTTCCACTTGGGAAAAAGATTCCTTACCGTACGTACAGACTGTACCGTGTGAATGGCCTTTTTGCCGCGTGCGGGTGGTGGCCCTCGTTAATTTTCCTGATCCTTTCCCTACTCTCGCTCTCTTTACTATGCGCGATTTTTCGTCGTCGCCTTTTGACCCTCGCGATTGATGAGAGTAATAGTAATAACCCATCCCAATCATGCTATTTGCTTGTTGGTAAGTCAATCGGCATTGTCTGGCCGAGACCAACAGAAAAGAAACAAAAAAAATTGTAATTAAAGGGTAGAACGAGACAGAAAGAAAGGGACAAGCCAGAGACACATACACATACACATACACACATACACTATCAGACCCTCTATGTGTAAATCATTGGCATATTCCTTCTGTGTAAGCACCTGGCGCACTGCGATGACATCGGACTTCATAGTTTCAGTAGTTCCCTTGCAGAAAAGAAATGATCGGTGCCCTTCTTCTTTTCTTCTGCCCACCAGAGAGGGATGAAAGGGACATGATCTGAGGAAACCAAGGCCCGCTACAGACGAGACATACATACACTACCAACCAACTACTCGATACACTATCACACTGTTGTGTACACAGATTGAATCAGCGTGTCTCTTTACTTGCTGCGAAATACTCCGATTGTGAAGCGCTGGAATGACTGGTTTCCCTGTGCCACAGAGCGCAGAGCCAGGGCCGTCCTACCCGATCTTGGAACCACGAGCTGAGCCAAACGGGAACGCAAGGGGCGAGTTCCAAGGACTTGGATGATACCATTTCCGGCCATGCAGGGTCAGAAACAATTCAGCTAGATAGATAGTCTACTCTCTCCCTACGATTTACTTTCTCTTCTTTCGATGTTTTCTTCAGTCTACGGAATTAAATTGACATCATCGTCGCATGTCGTAGGTGGCCATGGTCGGTGCTGTCAGACGATCCGTTTTTTAACTTCCCATTCCTGGTGCCGATTGACCGTGTCTCGGGGAGGGAGGGGGCACCAGGAAATGAGTAGTAAGTAAAATGATGATGAATTCATGGTGGTGATGATCGTGCCGACTCGGGAACTGACTCCATTGCCCGCCCGGTGCGGCCCCGTAGAAGGTTAGTAGGAAAGTAAGTGGAAGTAATAAGTCACTGGTAGGTCAGGATGAGCCGTACACAGTAAAGTAAACAGACCCCCTTCCTTATCCAAATCCAGAATTATGTCATCGGGATTATTTTCTCCTGTGCGATCATTTGTTATCGGTGGGATGGATGAATGGATAGATGGGATGATTGATTCCATCCCATAATTATAATTATTATTACCATGCTATTACCATTGCGAATCGCACCCTTCGTTATCTTCCGACTACGCACTTCCCGAGTTTGTCCCCACGCGCCTCGCTGTGGCCCCCCCCCCTCCCTTCCTTCTCTTTCTCCCTCTCTCTCTCACTCTCTCCCTCATATTAGCATCGCTGTTATGAGCATTGTCTCTCACAATCTCGCACTAATGCCAACCTGGAGTCGATCGCCCATCCATTATCCAACCAACCCATCCTGTGAGCGTGTGACGACCGGGGAGGGAAGTGGAAGGTGTGTGTGCTCTCCACCCTCCTTATTTACGGCGCGCCAATCCCATGCATCTAGCCCTGATTGAGTTTCATCCGATTTCCTCTCGTGGGGAGGCATGGGCTCCATCGGAGAGCGTCATTTTTGTCTGACTGGTTGACATCGGGATGCGACTCCGCCGGCTAGGCACTCGGGACTCCAGTCTGGGATTATTTGCTTCCATTGTTGCTGGGCCCCGTATCATTGGTCTGGCCGGGATTGGTGTGTGGTCTTATTGCTATCAAGTGAGTAAGATTACTCTCTCTTGCTCGGCCCTGCTATCGTCGCGTTATTGATTAGCCAAGTCTGGCGGCAGCAGTAAATGAAATGAGCGCAGCAAGATAGTTTCATGATACAACAATAGTAGCCATAATAGCCTCGTCTGGGCATTGATCGTTTTCGTATATACGCTGACTTCATCTATCTATTGGGGGCGTGTAGCCAAGGTTGATCGCATACCAGACCGAAACCCCAGTTCCAGATGGTCTCCGCAGATAACCCTGCTGCTGCTGCTGCTGCTGCTTCTGCTGCCGCTGCCGCCGCCGCCCATTGTACAGAGCACGTTGCGACATTTTTCCAATTTTGCTCGATTCGATTTCGATTTCGATTTTAGATTTTCGATTTTTCCTGGGCTTTTTTTCTACGAAGCCATCTGGTTGACAGGTTGGCTTGGGAGATGTGGGAGGCATGCATGCATGGCCACGACCCCAGCGAACCAAGATTTTTGCATCGTTGCCCTTTCAGATGCACACTCACTGGTTGCGTCTATCATTCTAACCTTACCAGCCAGCCCAGTGCTTCCCCTCCTCCGACCGATTCTACCCGTGCTGCTTCTCCAGATAATCTGTAGTTAACCTAGACCATCTATCTATCCGATACCGTCAAGCAAAGCAAATCGAACCACCGGTGATGCTAAAGAAAAGCGCCATTTTCCATCAGCTCAGCCCAGACAAATCAGGATCTCTCCGGAATTCCCAGGAAAAGCAATCTGTCTCCCTCAGGGATCCACGGAAGTCCCGAAAAAAAAAAAACTGCATAGTACTTGTGATTATTGGAAAATGGCTTGTCTGACAAGAGAAGAGAAAGAAGAAAGAAAGATATGCATGCATGCACGGCATTAATCCACAACCACGTAGCCCGCGTCCGGGCGCGCGCAGCGCCCCAGATCGCCTGACAACGTACATCGCGGGTTCAATAACCACCATCCATCGACGATTGTTCCAGTTGTTTTCCAGTGCCTTCTCGCCATTAAACTTTTTCTTCCGTTTGATGACTTAGAACCTTTCGTTGATAACAGGGAATTCCCATGTTCGTGACTCTTCCTCCGCACTTCCTAAGCTTCAGCGCGCATAAGGCTTGTCTTGGACTCACTGCCAAGGTCTATTTTGTTTTTGGCCCATTTGGTAGTTTGCCAAGAGGGTGATCCGTTGTCGGTATCCTTGTTCTTGGTCTGCCTTTCTATGGAGTACTACTTACTCCTCCACATTCTTTTTCGGTGGTTGGGCTGGATGCTGTCCGAATCCGGATGGGGGTTGGTTTATCTCCAAGCAACGCCGTAGTAGATATTCTTAGTAGGTTCGGCTTTCCGCTACGTGGGCGGTTAAGAGTGATGCAACTGGGTATCTACGGAGTAACATTGGCGATAATTGTTCTTGGCTGGCTCTAGTAGAATCGGAGTTGATGGGTCAGTAACGGAGTAGTATTCTTCGATAATATATCCCATCATTTGAGGCTCGAGATTGCCGCCTCTATTGTATACTACAGCCTTGCGTTGCCCCCATCTTAGTATATACTATGTGAAGATCAGTGAGATATACGCAGTAATCTACCACTAGGATAATACTAGAAACTCCAATTTGCTTATTCCAAACAAAACACAAAAAAAGCTTCGGAATGTAAAAGTCCAACTTTAAGCCACCAACTTACTCCGTGCTGAGTAGCAGTAGTAGTAGTAGGATGGGATGGGATTTACCGTCATCCCGACCGGGTCTCGATCGATACCGCCGCCCTCAGCTCCCACCCAAGTCCGAAAGTTCTGAACCAAATAACGCATATCCATTCATCCATCCAACCCCAGACGGGCGGGATAAAACCCGATGATGTTTGTGGAGGAGAACATCATCCCATCCGCCCAACCATACCTGCAGAATACTACTACTTACTGTAGGTAGTCAGTCATCCATCGGGCGGGCGGCCTCGCGCCCCATCCATCACATTATGGTTGCCGTACCATCCATCCATTCCATTCATCCCAACGGACATGAGAGAGCTCTGAAAAGGCGACCGTACAGACACATGCAAGACGAACCATGGCATGGGGGTCAGTGTCCCTTTCACGCGGATTCAACCTGTTTTCTTTTTCGCTCTCTTTGCTCCGATGACCTGAACATCATCAACTTAATCACACACTAACTACTCCGTATCTAACTAACTATCAGGTAAGGTCTAGCTGGGCTGAGCTGAATTGATCTGATCAGCCGCGCGGGGAAATAACACCCTACTCTACTCTATTTCTTACCATAATATTAACTCAAAACCACATGCAAGCCTAACTACGTAACTAAACTACGGAGGGTAATCCCGCTCATCTACTGCATTCTCTCACCGTGACGCTCACTTCGTCTGGCAAAGCAGCAAGCCCGAAGTTTAATCCCGGAGTTTGAGGATGAAAATGACTTTAACCTAATTCAGATATGATATGATAGTTCCGGTGCTACTTACTTACACCGGGGTTAAGTAGTTACTTAGGTGGGTTAGTGAGGTAGTTAAGGGATGGGGGGGGCGGTGGTTGGTTTCGCCTCGCCCGACGGGGCCGATTGAGCGGTTTCCGCGGTTTGGTGGTTAAGTTACTGTAGATGGACTAGTACCTGGGAGGAAGACTTCTGGATAGGGAACAGGTAGGTCCCATATGGATGGGTTACCTCACGGAGGAAGTTTGGCCGTCGGGGTTTGTTCCTGACGAATAGAATAGAACAGAATAGGGATGGTGGTACCTTACCCCATATTGATGGGGGTGAGTAGTAGTAATGATGATGGTGATAGTGATGGTGATGATGATGATGCTATTCCCGTTTATGCTACCATTGTTACTACTAACTCCTGGTGCTGTCTAATGCTGTCTACATAATTAGCTAACTACTACAGTAATAAGCCAGATAGCATACGCAATTAACACCCCAGCAACACACTTACAGCCCGTGCACCCAACCGCCCCCCGAGTCATCACCACAAACCCGAATGCAGTCCATGGTGATCAGAATTCCGGGGGATTCTCACCGTTGCCCGGTATTACAGGGATAGGGGGGGTTAGCTAGCTAGCTAGTAGGCCTGAACTGAACCTGGGGCAGCAAGGCAAGGCAAGGTCACTCACTCACCACCACCTCAGGTATGCAAACAAAAACACAACTCACGTCAGCCAAGACCGAAACCAAAACCCCAGCCATCTGGAAATACCAAACTACAGGATCCCTATCTACTACTACTATTTCTGGGGTTCAAGGGGGGTGAGGAGGAGGGGGCCGACGGGCCCATAGAAGGTCAGCTGAGGGAGTTTACTACTACTATGGAGAAAGGAAGTTAGTTAGTTGATTCCATCCCACATCCCACACTTTTTTCCCCCCCTTATGTGGTTGTTTTACCCCATCCCATCCCAATCTCATCCCATATTTTCCCCAAAGAGCCAAGACCAGGACCAGGGCCAAGGGCCAACAGCCCATAAGTGGTTGTTAGTCAGTGAGTAGCTATCGTGGAGCCACACTAGCCCTCTCCATCTCTTTACACAGTTAGACTACGTAGATAGATAGATTACTTGGAGTAATAATCCACGAATATAGCTAGCTAGATAGAGATACTTTTAGATAAAAAAACACCAAAGTGGATTCCCCAAAAACCCGCAACCCAGTACCTGGATTCTCCGTCGCGCTAGTCCCAAATCAGAATACCTTCTTAGCCGAAGTGGAGCACCCACCCACAACTCTCACACCGGGAAGGGTAAGTTATGTATGGTGCCGTGGCAATAAGAGGGCTGTTGTGCGTCCCCCATTTGTTTTTTAAAAACCGCACTAGTACCTGGTACCTCGCCTAGTCGGGAAAGTACCTTACCATCACTTCCCGAAGTGTGTTGCAAAAGCTCCCCACACTGAAAACCGTGGAACGAGTCGAGGTGAGGTTTCTCGGTCGGCATGTCAGTCCTGTCGCTTGTCGTTTGTTCGTCTTGGTTTGTCTGTCCCTGATCCATAGGATGGGAGGTGATGGTAATCGTCTTTGGTTCGTTGGGTGTTGGGTCGTTTCGTTGTCGATATTTGGGTTTGGGCTTTGTTTCGGGTTTCTTTCTTGTGCTTGCTACTTTCGTTGTATCAGGGTTTGAAGGTTATCTGGTTCTTCTCCGTAGTTTAGTTTACTACTGGTTAGGGTATTTGGTTGCTCGTTGAAACCGTTCTCTGACAGCTGGGCTGAATTTGAGATATGGCGTTGTCGTCGTCTAGTTAATCTACTTAGATGATACTAATTACCCATACTGATACTGACTGACTGACTGACTGATTTCCCTCCGGGAAGGTGAATCGAGCTACGTACCTACGTACCTACTTACTCCGGACGTGGAGCCTACATAACAATGCATGGAGACAGGGGACACGTGAGGGATGCCAACCCAGCAGTAAGCATTCTGCATGATCGCAACCAAAGAAAGGGTTTCGAGAACGGTCAAAGAAGGTCATCGGGATTGCCGGTGGGTGTGAAAAGGCGAGACCGAGACCCTCCCCGCGTCCATCATGACTGAACAAAGAATAGAAAATGGAGAATCAATCAGTCACAAGTTCGCCTCATAGTGATGGATGATGACCACAATAGTGCATGATATTATATCCCGCAATGGAGCCATACAGATTCGAACAAAGTGAGGCTATTCCGTGCGGGCGGCTGCCAAAAAGTCCGGAGTAGTAGACCGGAGTACGGAGTGGATAGTAAGAGGCTAACTCCCAGTACGGGTTAGACTAAGTGACTAGCCCGCACTTCCCCGAGCGCGGACTAAAATACCTTAGTAATGGGGCTTATCAGGGCATTCGATTGATTGATTGATTGTGAGGGCCCAAGTTTGTCCACAGTAACTACTAGTACTACTACTCAGTAGCGCCATACTCAGTTGGGAAGGACTGACTTGGACTGACTGGTCGCCACCGGACCAGCCGAATGCAAGGCCCAAAAAAGTGAGGGGCAACAAGACCTTCTGACCGCATCGAACCCGCAGATTCGCCGTTCTCGACGTTTTCTAGAAGGCTTCGACTGGGGCCCTTGATCCAGTTAGCTGCATTACTCGTCCAGACGATTCTTCTTTTTTGATTTTTGCCGCTCCGAATTTTTTGGGGGAGGGAGGGTTCGAGAACAGAGATTTTTCTGGGGCTGACATGGCACATCGGATGTCGGCAGCAGGAAGTCTGTTGGCCACTGAATTGGGATTTGTCGAGGGGTCAAGGCGACCGGGGGGAGGGGTGAGTGCTACGTCATAATCGGCAGTCCGATAGGGAAATCGGGTAAAGTCATAGTGTTGGTGGGATTGTCCTTATTATTGATTTTGGCCTCTGGGGCAATTTGCCAATAATTAATGCGACTTTGGGTGCCTCTTTGAGGGACTTGCAAAGCAGAGGTCAAGTCAGCTCAGGTCAGGCCAGTGTGTTGGCTAATGGATGGGGGCAACGAAATTCCCCTTCGGGATAAGGTCGGCTACCCGTAAGGATGCTAAACCACTTTGGGCCGACCCTCTCGTATGAGCCGTGTATAGGTGACGGGGGTGAGACAATTATCCGCACGGTGACGGCGCGTGTTGGCGCGTTATGACAAGGTCATGGCTTACACCTCGTAACCTTCCCTATCTGCTTTTCATCGCCTAGACTACTTACAGGCCGAGATACGACCTTAGGTAATACAGTCCGGCATAATGGCAATTAATTCCGTCCGTCGGTGCATAAAACGTAGAAGAAGACGAAGAAACGACCTCGAAAATGCGATCACGACCACGGGCGTCCGTGGAGCACCCACTAGATACCGCTAGGCTCGTTCTTGGCTTTCTGGTACCTACAGTAGTGACCAAGACTAGGTAGCTAGTCAGTGGTCACTCCATCGACTCAGCGCGGCAACGGGGCCAATTTCTCCCACTTCACCGACGTTAATTGCGAATACAGTTAGCGGCCCCCAATAATGATACCAATCGCGGTCCCAACTCGCTGAGAGCCTGCCTTTCCTCTTCCCTCCCCCCCACCGGGCGATCGCCCGTGCCAAGCTGTCTCATCGAGGATCCTGGTGAGGGATTTTCTGTCGGCCCTGGTCTGCCCTCGTTCACCCGAGGTTCAAGGATAGCACCTCCATCCATCATCCCAGTCGCGCATCGGACCTCCGCGGTCGAGGTACTTTACTGCAGCGCACATCTCGATCGAATGGAGATGCTCGTGCCAGTCCTGCCGGCACTGCCAGCACCATTGCCAAGAGCACCAAGAAGTGTTGTGTTCAATGGATTGTATTCTACTGCAAAGTATCACACTATCAAGTATACTATTGCTATTGCAGCATTGGCAGTACGACCAATTGCTACGATGATGACGACTAATCAGTTACTACTAGTAGTGGGAGGGTACTTCTTGACCACTGACTACTCGCAGCTACACGTATGTACCTGCCCCCACGGGCGGGAGGAAGCTCCGACTGTTCATCGGAGATCCCAATCGAGTACGAGGATACGAGGTCGTCATTCGTCAACGGGTCAGCCGTCGTCCCCAGCAGCAACAGATGCTGGATATTAACAGCAGCAGCAGCAGCAGCGCAATTTTAGCCCGCTCCAATCACCCTTCCTCAGTAGCTCGATACCAGCCTACAGTAGCTAGCTAGCTAGCTAGGCTGGCTGCGTACGTTTCTAAAACCTCGCCGAGCTCAAACGCTCTGACGACAACCACTAAAAAGCTGCTGCAGGAGCTTTATCGTCCTTACCTTTTTGACACTTCCGGAGAAGACTTGCTTGTATGAGAGATTTTTAACCTCATTTCCATGCCGCGCCCGCGCGCCCCAGCGTGCCACCGTGGCAGCTAACCCACCATCTATGGATGACGCGCAGTGCTTTGCAGAACTGCTTCTGCCCAGTGACCAGCAGAATCCGATAAATGGGTTAGTTTAGTGACTTTGTAGCAGTGCAATGGCACTGGATCATCCCTCCGGGCATTTTGCTGTGCGTATTCTTGGATCGGGTTTAGCCCGAACCCTCCCCGACTCGGGGAATTATTGCCCGTCCATACCTGGGACGACTTGCTGTTGGCCAGTTCTTGGAGGTAAGCTACGGTCGGCGAAATGGGTTAGAACTAGAACTAGACTGCAGTGTTTCGATGCAGAGAGCTATTTTCCGGAGAAATAGCTAGATATCCAGTCTAGATGGACTAGGTAGATAGCAATAGAGCGCGGCAAGCCGGATACTGTTAGTCGCTCCCTGCCTATCATGGACCGACCGTAACAACTGACCTACTAAACTACTGCACCATAGACACTTAACTACCGATAGGGAATAACACCCTGGTGGAAGCGAGAACCCAATAGTTAGTCAGTCGATAGACATGGGACTCCAAAACGACCGGGTCTGGAACGGATATCGGCAGCGTCAGTCAAACCAGAGGAGGGATCCCGAATTCGCAACTGCAACAGCCCGCCAGCTTATCTGTGTCAAATAGCTACTAACTAGCTAACTACATACGTATCCTAGCTACCCCTCCTCGTGCAGCTCACCACAGACCAGACCAGACAAAATAGATTAGTTACTTAGTGATTGCCGGGCTGACAACCCGGGAGGGACGCCATTTGCTCTCCAAATGCGCTCACGCACACAACTCCCCAAGTGCGTTAGCCCCATTAAGTTTGAGTGAATTGAATTGAGTGGGTGGAATCATCATTATCCCTCACTCGGGGCCGTGTGTATGAGTAAATGTCTCGCCTTGTCGGCCTTTCTCCTCGGGATATTCGGCCCTTCCAGTCAAATGAGTAGTCAGGGTCGCCGAAGTCTTGTTTTACTGGTAGGATAATAGTTTAGTTAAGTTGACTGCTAACGGGCTAACTACGCGACACGGGAATCGGCACGGGCGCGCCGTTTGGAGAAAAGACCACCAATCCATCACCCTCCAATCATACATTCGTCCATTTGTTCCATTCAGGCGTTTGACTTTATCCCCTCTGCCTCCTTTTCCATGGTTGCATGTTGTCGGGTATGAACCGTGGTACTGGACCGGTTTTTTCCCAAGTTCAAAGTTGGGTTTTTGTGGGTGTGAAGAATTTTTCCGGAATAGAGTGTCGGGAGTGTGTGATGGATGTAAGGCTGAAGTGAGGGAATTCTTCTGTGGCTTCTTTTGGAGGAGACGTGTCTGATGGAGGGAGGGATGGTTGGGCAGGGATGCACTTCGTAGTGGTGATGTCTCATGTCTATTGGTAGTATTCTGTAGTGATTCATCTATGGACGTTGTGTCTGATACATGTTTAACCCTGTTGCCAGATGCTCGCTCACTATGTAGTTTACTAAACAGCATGGGATCGATGCCAAGGGATCACCAGCATGGATTATTATGTCTAATTATTAAAGTACTTGGACGTTTATATATGTACTTATTTGTGAAGGGTTGGGCACCCCGCAATATATACATACACTCAACACTACATACAATCCATAGGATTATCTCGGTGAACAGTAGTAGAAGTGGTAGGTATACCTGAGACAAAAACCACTGCTTGAGTCTCTGCAATGCAATCTGCTTCAGTCCTGATCCAGTCAACCTGTTTCAGTATATATCCCGTGCCTACGTCCTCCATCCAATACATATGTAGGTACCCCTTCTTGCATCAATCAGAAGTAGGTACCATCGACAATCATACCCAAGTAGCATAAGTATTGATGATCCGACCGTATTCTATCCTATTCCGTCTCATCTCGTCTCCTCTCCATGCATCATTTCATACTATCCTCGACTTACATGCCATGTTTTACATGAAGTTAATTTATCGGATCATTGTCTGATACACCCACATCCACACACCATCATCTATCGAGAAAGGCAAGTTAGTCGAACAGACAGATACTGCAATAGCCACATGGACAAATTATAGACGGAGATTATACGTACATCCAGGAAGTTATTGTATCATATCATTGGAAAGGGGGAGATAATAATCGTGTAGATCGGTATTATTGAGTTTACGAATATGCTATTCGTTTTCTAGATGCGTGAAGAGTAGTCCCTGATTCGGTAGGTAGGTAGTTATGTATACCTGCATATGATGTCAGATGAGGTATTCACTAACTACGTACTACTCTTGTCCGTGAGAGTACGGAGTATGTCTGATGTGATATCCTAATATACTCCGACTCCGTTCGTATGGGTCTGATTCAGAGTTTACGGAACAAGTCGTGAGACAGTAGTTTACTACTTGGCAGGATGATAGAGTTTTCCATGAACCTAAGTAAAATAAGTGAATAAGTACTGAGGAAGTAATTGCCGAGCGAGGATGTCCTGGCTCTATCCCCGTCGGGATAATCCGTAACCATGATGAAGATGATATCAGATCGACAGTTCATCAGGGGCTGCTGGCTGGCTGGCTGGCTGCCTTCTGCCCTGGCTACTTACATTGCCAAGATCGCATTTAAGCGAGCAATCAGAATATCGTTGCTGTAATCGATGAACTGTAGAAAGTATATTGCCATTATACAAACTGAAATCATGAGCTAGCTAAGCTATGGTATATACTTACTTTGTAACTACCCCATCCCTATCACACCAACTATTCCATACAGCCAAGCAACAACAAAAAGCAAAAAACAAATAAGTAACTTAACCCGCCCCTCAAAAACGTGACTCCCTCTTAGGTTAACCTCTTCCCCCTTTCCAAGCCAATAGTCATGCAGATTACTTTGCGCCAAGCGGGAGATGTGCAGCTTCAGCAAGGCTTCTCTTGGCATGTCTATCATCCATCCCTTTTGGATGTGCGAAATTGCCAGGTTGGGATGTGCACAGAACATAGCGAGGCAGTGTATCTTAGGGATGCTAATTATAGAGTGTAATGAAAGGACTTGATTTTGGGGTTGCTGTTGTTATCAGTGTAATGGTTACGAGTTACTTCTCTGGGTGTAGTGTTGACGTTTGTGAAGGTGATGATGATGATGACGGGTGCTGCAGCTTGGCGGGAGTGTTACTATGTCGTTTACTTGGTGTTTTCGCAACAGCAGCAGGAGCATAATAGAGAAAGAAACATGTCTTGGTTCCCTTTGTTTAGTATTTACATTCCATACAACAAAGAACCCAGCCATATACTCACTTACCAGCATACTAAGTAGCATACAAGTAACTACTTACTGAATATAACATTCCCACCAGTTCATTCAAACCAGTTTTACCCCATACCCCATATCACCACCACCAACAACTACTAACTCAACCCCATCTGTTCACGCTCATCCCCCATACCAAACAAACACAAACACAAACAACTAAAAGTTACCCCTTTCTTCCCTCTTATCTCCCCGCCAAGCCCTGCCGTGCATTCCTCCCTTCTTAATTGTTCTTGGCAAAGGGGGGGTTGGTGTCGGAGTCCTGCTGCTTCATGCACCGCCCTCCTCCCCTCCCTCCCTTCTGGGTGTAATGCAGCCAGCGGAGAGGGGACGGGATGAAAATCACATCAGGGGAAAACACAGCCCAGCCCAGCACAGCACAGCCTGAAGTTTGAGTCGCGGGTGATCAACAGGTAAGAAGCGTTAGTTGTTAACCTTCTGCAGGGTTGATCAGATGATACTGCCACTATTAGGTTACAGTATATACTCAATATAGAGTTTCATGGATAAGTTGTTTGTAGGCATCTAAGTAAGTAGCTAACTAGAGTAACTACGGAATAAATTAACGAGGAAGTAGAGAATTGAATAGAACACTTGGCGAAGATAGTGGTCGTCATCACTTTCATGCTGTACTCTGTAGGAATACGTCATACAGCATGAGAATCTGGGTAGATGCATGTTGTATGTATGGTAAGAAATGAGATGGAATAGTTACTTACGGTAGATACTGATGGGGAGATGGATGGTGTTACACGATATTTTAATTTCCTTCCTACATACATACATACAAACATACATACATCTGCGTACATTTCGCTATACCCCAACCTCATTCGACTCTGTCTAAGAAACAAACAGACCTATCTCAAATGTAACAAGAGATTAGAAGAGTAAAGTTAGTATGGCAAGCGAATCACCTCCCACCACGAATCCTTCCATCCAACCAACCAACTAACTAACTCTAACTCTAATCTCTGCTCTGCATATTCATCCATCAATCACCACCACCTTCTCCCCATCTCATGTAAATGTACATGCACAGTAACCGTACCCAGCCTCTTACAATATTTTCCTTCGTGCATTGCATGACGTTACAACTTTCCAAATACTATCGTAGATGGGTAGATGAAGTGAGACGGACTCTTGGCGGTATGGAATGTGCATTGCAGTATGTATGTATGCAGGTATGCCGTAGTGATGGGTGATGATGATGATGATTTCTAGCCATTCTAGCCTGCTTCTGGTCCCTTGGTCTGAATCTGGATTGCTGGGCTGGTACTTGGCTATAGTTTTGAGTTTTGGCTTGCTTGGGGTGGTGCTGTCATGTTGTGCCATTTGGTTGTAGTTTGGCTGTAAGGTGCGGTGAAGTCGGTGATGTTGGCGGTGGATGGGTCAGATGGTGGTGCTTTGAGGCGGTGGAATGGAGGAATTGGGTAAATTATAGTGAGTTACGGTTGTGGATGACATAGAGGTTTTACTGTAGTTTTCCATTAGTTGAGAATTGGTGGTTCTATGAAGTGTTCTAGTATGGTCGAATTCTTTAGTTTGTGTAGTAAATATATATCGAGCCTAAATGTGCACCGGTATATATACAATCCCAACATACACCTAAACGGATTCAAGTTTGCGCAAGCGTTTATATATTAATGGTCTTGCATATGTTCAAACGCTTCTAGGCCATATATATATACCTCGATAGTTCTCACTACCGCTCAGCATGTGCACGGTGACCCCCGGTTCTATACCAAAGCTGCCAATGGAACGGTGTCACTGAGATGCCCACGATGCGACTAAATAGAAACCACCATATCTGAGGACTCCCCGCGAGACTTATCATGTTGTTCGCGTTATCATCCGAGTCAGAATATCGATCGAGCATGGCTGAAACTCGATGCTCTGATATCGAAGCTCCATGGGAACAAGCGTATACCACTGACATTGCAGCATGTATGCCGCCATGATGTTCGGCCAAGGTTGACTAACCAGGTCGACGAGCATCCAATTACAGCCAGATGACCTGTAATCGCATCAAGTCGTCACCATGGCACGACGGTCCGACCAAGCATTGTCGCTGGGGTTGTCTTGAAACACAGCCCAGACTGGCATCATCTCAAGGACACCAGCATCCATCATGACAATTAATCCCAGCGAAACTGAAAGTGAACTAAAATTTAATCCTCATCCCCACCGAACAAGGCACCATCGCCCCCGGCATACTCCTCTCAATAGCAAACTTAGCCCTCCAACCAGAGCAATGACCGGGAAGAATAACCGCAGGATCCAACCTCTTCAGATCCCTAACCGTGCTCTCCATCTGCGACGTCTCACTAGTAGCAAGGTGAAAGCCCCCGACGATAGCATGCAGGGGAACCTCACCGTCCAGCGAATCCACCGCATGTTGCGCACAATTGACCACCCCGGCGTGACTGCACGCCGTGAACATGACGATGCCCTTGTCTGAATACAGTCAGCGTTACCCAAGCATAGCTATCATCAAATATGAATCGAATCGGATAGCATACCATTAAGCCTACACATCAAAAACCTCTCATCAGCAATCCCCTCATCCGAGAACCAGTCCTTTTCTTCCGCATCGAACCGCATCCCCCCCTTCAACCCATGCTCATACCCCGTCCGTCGAGGAATCTCCCCCGATATGAAGAAAAGGTCGTCCAGGACGGTATGCGCATCAGCGTGTTTCTGCACCACGCCTCCGGCGGCTTCTAGCTCCTCGAAGCTGGGATCAGCCTGCAATGATATGATATTATTTCCGATAGCCATGCCTCTGTAATCTGGTCGATCGGGATGGAGATCAACTATTGTCGCAGAGGAATTTCCCCCGGCCTTCTTCTTAGCATCCGTAATCATCTCAATAGCCCTTTGAAGACCACCTGCATTAACCCACTTAGCACACACCAAGCCCACTACACCATGATAACAGAAAGAGTAACGTACCAGAATGATCCCGATGCCAATGCGACAACTGCACGACCTCCACACTCGCCAAATCTGGCCGTAGGCGCTTAACATTCCTCTCCCAGGCGTCGCCTTCAGGTCCGGCGTCGAAGAGGATCGTGTGCTGTTTGTTGTCTTTTGTTGCTGTCTGGATAATTCTCTTAGCTTGCATCACTCATCTCAAGATCCAAGGGGAGGAGGGGCATACCACAAGAATCGACAACTCATGCGCAGAGCAGCATATATCCTCCATTTGAAGTTCCTTGTGCGCATCTCCGCGGTCGTGGATATCATGTGGAGAGGATGTTGCCAGTGTGCGCATTAGACCTGTCACTTCTACTGTGTCTGGGGGGACGGGGGACATGGGGTCCAGGTCATTGTCGATGAGGATGGTGGCTTCGAGGGAGTCGAGGTCTACGAGGGATGAAGCGGACATCTTCGATGTAATTTTCTGTTTGTACTTTATGGGGGTGTTTAGTGGGATGGATGGGTGTTGGGGTTGAGCGGGATGTGGGGAGAGGGGATTGTAGTTAGAAGATGTTCACCACATAGGGTAGTTACTAGTCGGAGGTTTTGTTTCGTTTGAGGGGATGTAGCATCAAAGAATGATAGTCATAGTAAGCTGTGATGAGGTTGAATGGTTGTTGGAGGCTTATCTCAGGTGACGTGCAGGTGACGCTTTGGTGCCTCAGGCTGCGGTAAGATTCTCACCAAATGCAGTTTGAATGAATCAGTGTATATCAACATATCTACGGAGTAATTACTATACGTTAAGGGATATAGATAGCGATAGATACTTCTGGAATGATTATGACGGTTCAAGCCTAGTATGTGCTAGTGTGGCACGGCCTGGACTTACACCGACTCTTCTACTTCCACTCCTCTACTCCGTACTCTGCAACTCAGTAAATCATGCTCATAGCTATGCACATCATTCGTTTAAACGTTATATACATCACGGGCAGTAACATGTTGTGATCAGCAAAGGGCAAGGCTCGTGTCTACTTCTAAGCCCCCAACGCATATCGCTGATAGGGCAACATCAAAGCTCAAAGCAAACCACTGCTTCTATCCAAGGGGCGATGACACCTCCCGGCAGATGAACAGCCAAGTTTCATCAGGCGCGTGCTCTGGCTGGTTTAGGAAACTCGTCTTCAAAGTTCTCCTGCCGGCCACATGCAGACCGGACGCGGTCAGTCTGGGCCTGACACGTTTAGACGACCATGCATCCAGCTCTTGCCACGCGAGAAGTCACTGCCGTTGCACCGAGGCGACAAAATGGGAATAGGGGATGGGCGAGGTAAGAATGTGACCAAAAAGCCCCGACGCGTCTACAGACCGGTTTTGCCCAAGACGTCGGCAAGCTTGTCAACATCGTCGTCCTTCTTCTGGGAAACCTTTTCGTTCTCCGCCTGCTCGTCGTCCTTGACAAGCTTCTCGGCCTTCTCTTCCTCTTCCTCCTCTTCTTCCTCCTCCTCCTCCTCCTCGCTCTCCTCCTCCTCGAGTTCGTCCAGCTCGTCGACACCCCACATATCCTCCGGGTCATCATCCTGGCCGTGCTCCTCCTGACGGGCCTCCAGAATCTCGCGCAGTTCCGTCACGTTGTTGTCATCCTCGTTGAAGATGTTGCCGTTCAGCTCAATGCGACGCAAGGCAGGAAGAGCAGTCTTGGTGGCGTGCAGGAACTGCTTGACACCCTCGGCGGTGATCTCGTTGTACTGCAGACGCAGCGTCTGGACCTTCTGATTCTTGGCCTCAGCCAGAGCCTGAGCGACCTTGACGCCACCACGGCCCGACAGCAAGCAGTCACTGACACCGAGCTCACGGAGAGAGGGCCAGCTGGAGACTACACCAGCCAGGGCGGTGGAGCCCATGATGGTGAAAGTGTTGTCCTGCAAGTCGAGCACCTCCAAAGCAGAGCAGTGGCGAAGACCATCCTTCAGCAGCATAGAGATACCCTCCTGACGGATACCGTTCTGTGTCATCTTGACGGAGCGCATGCCGACAGCGTGCACCTCATAGGCACGTGCCCAAGCCGCCATACTGCCGTTCTCCAAGCGATTGCGACCGCAGACGATGCTCTCGAGAAGAGGGACCTCCTTGCCCTCCTTACGGGCCTCCTCCTTGCGCTGAGCCAGCTCCGTGAGTGCCTTCGCAATGTTCGAACCAGCCTCGGGACCCATGCCGTTGTTGTTGAGGATCAGGTGGCGGAGCGGGGTGTGGCGAGCGAGGAAGTCGACGAGGGGCTTCTGGGTGTTGGCGCCGAAGGCATTGTCGGAGAGGTTGACGGTGTGAAGGGTCGTGATTTCGAGAAGGGCATTGAGGAGGAATGTCAGAGCGTCGGGGATTTCGCTCAGCAGACGAGAGGTGAAGATGTCGGCAAGTTCAGCCACTTCGAGGCTCTTTTGTGTAGAAAGCACAGCGGCGAGACGCTCGCAAGCAGGCACACCCAGAGTGTTTCCTCCGAAGCGGATCTCAGTGTAGTCGGTGGCTTCGAGAAGAGGCTTGATATGGGACTCGATATCCTCAGCGGTATCGAGCTTGAGGCCTTTGCCCTCGATAGAGAAGACCTTGGGAGGGGCCATGGTGGGGTAAATTTCAGGGGTAGGAATTGCACAGTGCGATGCGGAAAAGGTGCAAAAGAATCAAAGTAGCAGGACTCGATGGAGGTCCAGGTAAACAACGGCTGAACAGTAGCAGGAAAAGCAAAGACAATGAGCGTGGGAGGCAATGCGACCGTGGAGGGGCAAAAAGTGAAGAAGAAGAAAGACTTGAAGCAGCGGGCCGTGATGCAGCATTCCCCTGACAACCCAATTATTTCCGTTTGTTCCCATAAATTTTCCCCGACCGCCGCTCCGGCCGCCCGCAGGCACCATTTCCGCCGTTTCCGGGCAATCGCATCATTATTCAGCATCTTTTCGTCTTGCTCAGCCTCCGACTGCTGTTCGTTTTCGTCGTCAATCCTGTCGCTCTCTGCCCATTGTCATTCACTGAGCCTATTGCTTCATTTCAATTCCATTCCTCATCATGTCGTGGCTGTCCGGTTCCTCTAACAGTACGTATTCCCATCCATGCTCGCCGCAGGATCCATACCTCTTGCCTCGCTAGTATATCGGAGTGACTCAAGGCTGACAATCTTTTTTGATAATAGCTGANAAGGCTGCTGCCCCTGCTCCTGCCGAGTCGGCACCTGCGGAAAAGCCCAAGGTATGCCCATTGCCCACACGACACCGAGATAGCCCAGAATGTCCGACTGACCGAGTCACAGCCATGCTGCGTTTGCAAGACCGAAAAGACCGCCCGCGATGACTGCATGCTCTTCTCCAAGACCGACGATCCCACACAGGAGTGCAAGCCTCTGATTGAGCAGTACAAGGCCTGCATGGCTGGCTATGGCTTCAAGGTCTAAGTTGCACTATACCCGACTGCTGCCGGGACAGCTGCACAATGAGGATGATACATAGAGTTCAGCGCATGCAAATATTGGTGTTCGGTTATGGGTTTATTCTGGGTTACATGTATTGTATAGGTCATTTTCGACGTCTATAGGTGGAGCATCTCCCTTCTTGTGCAATAAATGTATATTATCTATGTCATCATGTTCTGGGAATATTGTATGGATCGAAGGCTTAAGCAACCGCTTTTATCTCCACCAGGCGCAAGAAGCATAACTCGCAGTCTATCGCCGATAAGATCTGCCCAGGGCAGTCCCGAACATCAAAATGGGTATCACGAGAGAATCAAGTAGACTATGAAAGGAAATCACCGCCCAGCAACCTCACTGGTTCTTCTTCTCCGTCTCCTCGGCTGCCTTTTGGTCGATTTTGCGGCACTGCTGGATCAGCTTCCAGAAACACCACAGATACGCAATTCCAAATCCTCCAGCACCGATGAGGGCATTCAGCACCACCCACAGATCCGGCTTGCCAGGAGGGGGCGCCACGAAGGCTTCCAGGACATGCCATGCGATCATAGCAAGGTAAAAGCAGGCATGCAAAAGCTTGGTCAGCACATGAAGCTCGGCACCGGAGGTGGTGTCCTCCAAGGAGGCGCGGCGGCGGAATGTTCCCAGCGACGTTGGAGGGAGCCCCAATAGGTAGGCCCAAAGCAGAGTCAAGACGAAGTAGGGGATTCGAAGTTCGTCACGCTGCAGGAGAGGATACATGGTCCACGAGCCAAGCATATTGGCCCAGCCCACCCAAGCCCGGGTCTCTTTACTTAGGCCGCCATCTCCAGCCAGGAGAAGAGTCATGGGGAGCAAGGGAAGGAGAACGCTCTTCTCATGCACCTGGAACGAGAACAAGAAGAAGCCCCACGCTACACTTGACAAGGCTGGGAGGAGTAGCGAGGCGCGCGGGTGACGGAAGATGATGGCGCACGGGACGGCAATGGATGCCAGCGTCGCTCCAAGGGACATGCGCTGGAGCAGAGTGGCCTCGAATCGGTGGAGTTTGTAGAACGTATGGATGGCACACCACGCATTCGCGACCTTGTCCTCGAACAGACCACGAGCAAAGGGGAAGACGCGGTGGATAATTTGAGTCAGCTGGAAGATGACTGCATAAAGCATTGAGCTCTTGTCCAGCTCGATCGGGAGAATCTGCAAAAGCGGAGGTGCAGGGGCAAATGCCAGAGTTGCTTGCGCCTCGATACCAATCGCTCCAATGAGCATTGGAGCAAGCAGGACAGCAAATGCAACAAGGGTGACAAGAGAAATGGAGATGAGACGGAGGAACCGGATCTTGGGAAAGATGCAGACACCAAGAAGGAAGGCGAACATAACCGGAGCATAGTACAGGGCCATCTGCTTGAAACCCAGAGCACCCACGAAGAAGATGCAGGCCCATAGCATGCGTCCAGCCAGAATGGCATCCAAGCTCGCAACAACCAGTCCCAGCATCACCGTGTTATATTGGAAATGACCGTGGTCAATGAGAATAGTCGCCGGCTGTAGGAGGATCGCAGTGAGGGCAATTGAAGCAGACCAAACCGGAACGCTCTGCATGCGGGTGAAGCGGCGCAGGAAGGTAACGACGGCCGGGATGTAGACAAGGTATTCCGAAGCAATCACAGTTCCGCGCATGAACACCTTCAACAAGGGATCTTCTATGCCACGGGATTGGTCCAGGGCAAACCATGCGGGGTCAAAGAGAGAACCACTAGCCAGTCAGTCTAAACCACCACAAATTCAAGCACTCATGACGTACAGTTTTCCAAGCAACCAGCTGTGGTATGCAGTCAACGGCGGGTAGTCCAACCCCCAGTATTGCAGATCGTACAAGTACCATTTTGAAATGGGTAGATGAGTCGTGATCTCCATCCAATGCCTCTGTGCTTCAAAGTCACCATGCATAGGGGGTACTCCGAAGCCTGTGACTGTTAGTGTGTGACGCCTGGTATAGGAGATAGCAGTGATTCGCGTACCAGAATATCCCCACAAACTGACAGCCCAGCGAAACAAACCCACTGCCATCAATATCAAGGGTAGTACGAGCCATTGTGAGACACCAGCGCGAGCAGACCAGAGAAAAGACACCAATGGGAAAGCTGGGGAGGCCTTCCCTCCAACGTCAACAATGAGGGAATTGTTAGAGCCGGCGAAAGACGAGGGAAGCTTTCTCTTCTTCCGCGGACGGTAAGAGGACGGAGGAGGCGCCATGATTCACAAGCAATGGACCAAATCACGAGAGTTCCATTGACTGCGCGTAGATGTCAAGCAGCCGTGACAGGTCTAAAGGAATGACAGGTAGTTGGAGTCGATAGTTAGTGGACTGGCTGGAGGTGGTTGACTGCGGAGGGACACTCTGGTTCCAACGGTCTGCCGGTGGACCAATGAGAGGCCCGGTCGGAGTCGGGCCAAGTCAAGTTAGTCTCCTAGCCAGTTCCCCACTTAGTTCCTGAGCTAGTGCAGCTGCAGCAGGCGGTAGGGGATGTTGATTTTTTTCTGCCAGCCTCCAAATTTTTTTTGCGTTTAGTCGCCTTATCAGAGCTGCTCCCCCAGCTAGGAATTTTCTTCTTCCTTCATTCCTGTCCTACTCTTCCCCTTCACCTTTTTCCATCATTTTTTATCACTCTTCTTCACTTGGTTGTCTTTTCAACTAAGTGTTCTATCTCTTTTCATTGCATATCTAACGGTACGCTTCAACAGACACTCTGTGGGCTTCTTGCATTGAGGGCTGTGGGCTGTAGCATACTACATCTATTCTGTGGGATCTGTGGGATACTCTCGTGGGTTTCATATCATAGACGGTAGCTTCCCTGTCGTCTCGTGTGGGCTTAGACACTGTCGTTGTGGGTTACCTGTGGGTATTTGAAAATTTCCATTACAAATCGGGTGATTGTGGGATTATAAGATCTGCCGCACATTCCTAGCTTTTCACTGTATACTTGCTTAGTTTACAGTTTCTTTGGTTCGTCTCTTTCCTTCCTGTCACTCTGTTTGTTTTCCCCTATACTAATTCCTATCCCTTTCAGATCAAAATGTCCAAGACCAAGTCCGTTACCAAGAAGGGCTCTGAGAAGCCGGTTGACAAGACCCTTAGCAAGGTCAAGTCTGCTGGTGTGACCAAGTCCTCCCAGTCCCCCAAGGCCAAGAGCAAGCAGATTGCTCGTGAGGTTGCCTCCAAGGAGAAGAAGGACAAGAAGAAGAAGAAGGAGCCTACTCCCAGCGACTCTTCCGAGTCCGAGTCCGACAGCGACGAGGAGATGGCCTCCGACTCCAGCTCCAGCAGCGAGAGTGAGGACGAGAAGCCCGCCAAGAAGACTGAGAAGAAGGGCAAGAAGGTTGAGTCCGAGTCCGAGTCTTCCGAGTCTGAGTCTGAGTCCGACTCTGACAGCGATGAGGAGATGAACGACGCCTCTAGCAGCGAGAGCGAGGAGGAGGAGAAGCCTGCCAAGAAGACCAAGGAGGAGCCCAAGAAGGCTGCCAAGAAGGCTGAGTCCAGCGACTCTGAGTCTGAGTCTTCTGACTCTGACTCCGAGTCCGAGGATGAGAAGCCTGCTAAGAAGGAGACCAAGAAGGCTGAGTCCGAGTCTGAGTCTTCCGACTCTGACTCTGACTCCTCCTCTGAGGAGGAGGCCCCCAAGAAGGCCGCCAAGAAGGAGTCCAGCGACAGCGACTCTGACTCCGACTCCGACTCTGACTCTGAGAGCGAGGAGGAGACCAAGGAGAAGAAGGCCGAGAAGGTATGCTGATTCATTCCTTTCATTCAAGTCTTATGCTAACGACCACAGGAGTCTTCCGACTCTTCTGACTCCGACTCCTCCGACTCCGACTCTGACTCCGAGTCTGAGGAGAGCGAGAAGCCCTCCAAGAAGCGTAAGGCTGAGGAGGAGACCTCCGCTACCCCCAAGAAGTCCAAGACTGAGGATCCTGCTCCTGGTGCTTCTGCCAACCTGTTCGTCGGTAACCTGTCCTGGAACGTCGATGAGGCTTGGCTCCAGTCCGAGTTCGAGAGCTTCGGTGAGCTCTCCGGTGTTCGTATCATGACTGAGCGTGACACTGGCCGCTCTCGTGGGTGAGTACAGTCTTTGTCCATAACTATCGAGCAACTGCTAACCCCTTCCAGTTTCGGTTACGTTGAGTACACCAACGCTGTCGATGCCGCCAAGGCCTTCGAGGCCAAGAAGGGTGCTGAGATCGACGGACGTGTGATCAACCTGGACTATGCCACTGGCCGTCCCGCCAACAAGGACCAGCAGGGTGGTTTCAAGGACCGCGCCAACGCTCGTGCCCGTTCCTTCGGTGACCAGGCCAGCCCCGAGAGTGACACCCTCTTCGTCGGCAACCTTCCCTTCGATGCCAACGAGGACTCGGTCGGCGAGCTGTTCGGTGAGAAGGGTAGCATCCTCGGCATCCGCCTGCCCACCGACCCCGACTCTGGCCGCCCCAAGGGCTTCGGCTACGTCCAGTACTCCTCTGTCGACGAGGCCCGCGCTGCCTTCAACGAGCTCCAGGGTGCTGACCTGCTCGGACGCCCGGTGCGTCTGGACTTCAGCACTCCCCGTGCCAACAACGGCGGCGGCGGTGGTGGTCGCGGTGGTGGCCGTGGCGGCTTCGGCGGTCGTGGCGGTGGTCGTGGTGGCTTCGGTGATCGTGGTGGCCGTGGCCGTGGTGGCTTCGGTGGCCGCGGTGGTGGTGCCCCCAACAAGGCTCGTGGTGGTATCCCCGAGTACAAGGGCACCAAGGTCACTTTCTAAGTCAATTTGTAAAAGTACTAACCGACGTATACCGATGTTTTTCTAGAATCTTTGTTTTGGGCAATGGGTTATGGTTTCCGGGGTTGTGTTATTATTCATCACTGTTTCTGGTACCCCAAAAGTTGTCTGCATTTGTCTCATCACGTCAAGCAAGCAAGCAAGCTAGCTAGCTAGCTATCTGCCTGTTTATCTAGGTAGCATACCAATTTAATGAATGGCTATGACCAGAATGATTCACGTTTCTTTTTCTTCTTCTCATTCTTTGTTTGGGTGAAATTGGTGGCACGGATCGACCAGATCTGCTGCGAGTGCGTGATGGTGGGCCTATCAGCGGGTCGAGGCAGCGGGGGACAAGTCAGCTGTGCAGTGGGAAAGGCTGTTTGAGGGTCGGATGATGGACCAGCCCTCGTGCTCGCCTCCCCCTTCTTATTCTCCCCGTCTCGCTTGTTGCTCGGGTCTATCGTTGTCCTGGATTATCCCGTTCAACCTGAGGGAATAGAAAGAAGCAGCAGCAGGTATCTTCTGGTCGAGCTTCAGGTTGGAGGCTGGAGACTGACAGGGAACCTAAACCGCCAATTTCATCGATGTTTCTTCACGGCAACTGCCAGCATCCACTTGCAAACTTAACTACTTACTACTAAGTACTGATAAGATAATCTTAACGGATCCTCCCTCATCATCCATTCAAACTGTTGCATCCCAACCCCGCCCTTTCTGACCGCTCAGCGTACGAGCTGAACGGTCCGCTTGCATTCCCCGTGGTCTGAGGATTGACTGACCGTGTGTTGCCTGCCTGCTCACTCATCTCATCTCATCACCGCTGCTTCTTCTACCTTCTATTTCTGCCTTCTTATTTATTCTTTACCTACTCTCTACTGCTCTCCTCCCATCCCCGCCTCGTCAGTCTCTCCCGTTATCCTTTCTCTTCCCATCATGCAACCCAACCACTATGACCTACTGGGTCAGGTGCACGATGACCCTCGATCGGTCGGGCGACTGACGCGAGACGCCCATCAGCCGCCGTCGCGCGAGCCTCACGCCTTCCAGCAGTCCCGGTCGCCTGCTGCTGTTGCGCCCACGAGATCCGAAGGTGCGTCATCCTGGTTTTCTCCAGATATTTGCCC